CAAATTAAAGCCCTTTTTGCCCTCTAAAAAACAGTATATAATATGTGTTGGTGCAATAAATGACAGAAATGCAAATTGCGTTTGAACGCAAACAGAAAAAATGCAAAATTGGCTTGTGTCCTTAAAGGACCACTATAGTGCCAGGAAAACATACTCGTTTTCCTGGCACTATAGTGCCCTGAGGGTGCCCCCACCTTCAGGGACCCCCTCCCGCCCGGCTCTGGAAAGGGGAAAAGGGGTTAAACTTACCTTTTTCCAGCGCTGGGCGGGGAGCTCTCCTCCTCTTCTCCTCCCTGTCGGCTGAATGCGCACGCGCGGCAAGAGCTGCGCGCGCATTCAGCCGGTCACATAGGAAAGCATTCATAATGCTTTCCTATGGACGCTGGCGTGCTCTCACTGTGAAAAATCACAGTGAGAAGCACGCAAGCGCCTCTAGCGGCTGTCAATGAGACAGCCGCTAGAGGAAATAGGGGAAGGCTTAACCCATTCAGAAACACAGCAGTTTCTCTGAAACTGCTATGTTTATGAAAAAATGGGTTAACCCTAGCTGGACCTGGCATCCAGACCACTTCATTAAGCTGAAGTGGTCTGGGTGCCTAGAGTGGTCCTTTAAGGGTAAGACAAGCTTTTGAAGCTGTGTCCATAAGGGGTTAATCATTAAATTAATGTGAATACAGTGATAGAATAAACAAAAATGTATTTAACCCATTAATACCTTTAGGGAGTACTATGCCGCCCTGCAAAAAGCTGGCTTAAATGCTGTTAGAGTGGTATAGTATGCCCTAATGGATTTTAGCTCCTCAGTCCCTCCAGACTTGCGTGGCTGGTGATCTATGTCTGGGGGTACTGCCTAACAAGCCAGGGAGTCCCCTTGCTGGCAGTCCGGGCCTTCCAGGCCATGTGATCGCAAAGTTCTCGCAATGGCAGTCTATTGAGCTGCCTGCAGGGGAACTGCTTGGATTGTTAAGCAGTCCGCAAACTGTAAAAAAAACTAAAAAAGTTAAAAGAAAGCATTCAAACAATATAAAATACATATATTATATATGTATTATATATTATAAATTCATTAAAACATATATGATTAAGGGGCGTACCTAGAGCATTTGGCACCCAGGGCGGATCATAAATTTGGCACCCCCCCAACTTTAAAATGTAAGGGGGAAAAAAGGCACTGTTTTTAATGTATTTAGCACTGAGAAGTACTTGTGTGTTTGAATGTAAGCATGTTTTTGTATGGAGTATGTAAGTGAATGTAGGTGTGTGTTTGTATGTAGTGTTGGAATTTGAATGCAGGCATGCATCTGTGTGTAGTGTGTGTTTTTTTTAATACAGTGGTGTGTTTATATATAATGGTGGTGTTCTAATACTTATATGTGTTTGTAGTGTTGCGGTTTGAATACAGGGGTGTAGTTGTGTGTAAGATGCTGAGATGTATGCACATACAAACACATATACACACACAGATAAACTTGCAGATATATAGACATACAGATACACACTGACAGACACACACACTGACACACATGAAGATACACAGACACACAGCTACACACACATGCATATACACAGACAAATAGGTAAACACATGCAGATTCATAGACACACAGTCACACACAGGGCCGGCCTTAGGCCCTTAGGCCCTTAGGCGCCCTGTGCGAAAATTTTTCGCAGCAACCCCCCCAACCACACAGGTACAGACAGACAGTCACATACATTCAGCCACACATACACAGTTACATGCAGACAGTCACACACACAGAGGCAGACAGTCACACAGGCAATTATCAAACACACACACACAGAGGCAGACAGCCACTCACACAGGTACTCTCACACACACAGAGGCAGACAGTTGCACATACTTACACACACTCACGAACAGGCAGTCATACATGGTTACCTCTGTTCTTTATGGTCTGGGAGGAGTGAAGGCAGGGCAGGCAGCTCCTGGGGTCTGGTTGTTGGGAAAGCAGGGACTCCTTCCTGCAACCCATGCAGCCGTAATTTTAGCTCCGCCCCTGCCGCAAGGTAAGCCCCAATGCTGGGAGGTTTTTTTTCTAATCCCGGGTGGAGAATAATGAAATCCTCCACCCGGGTAGCCAGCCATCTGTGAGCTGTGTCTGCTGCTGGGGCCCCCTGCTCCACGGCGCCCTGCTCGGCCGCACAGCTCGCACACACCTAAGGCCGGCCCTGGTCACACACAGATACACAGACACACACAGCTAAACAGACACAAACACTGGCACAAATTCACAGATACAGACACACAGGTACACATAGATACACAGAACAAACACATACAAACACTGACACAAACAAATAAAGACATACAGATACACAGATACACATTGTGTATGTTTTTTTAGTGGATACACTGTGTGTAGTGGATGCAGTGTGTATGTAGTGCATGTAGTGTGCTTGTTTGTGTAGTGTGCTTGTTTGTGTAGTGTGCGTGTTTGTGTAGTGCATTTAGTGTGCATTTTGTGTAGTGCGCGTGTTTGTGTAGCCAATGCAGTGTGTTTGTATAGTGAATTCAGTGTGTGTTTGTGTAGTGTGTGTTTGTCTAGTGAATGTAGTTTCTGTTGTGTGGGATAAGTACTGGGCAAAGCAGATTTTTAATTAGTTGGGCTTATCCCCCCCCCTTTCATCCACAGGCAAGAGGCAGGGAGGGGGAATAATTAAAAAAAACTGCAACCCCTACCCCCAGTACTTATTCCACACAACAAGCACACACAGTACATGCATTACACAAACAAACACTGCATACAAAACACACGACATGCACCACACACACATCACACTATTTCAACTCTCCCTGCCACCTATCTGTGGCCAGGAAGGGGGGACACATTTCCCTGGTGGTCTGGTGGCTATAGTAAGGACCCAGGAGTCATCTTGCACCCTCCAGCAGCAGAATGCCCTTTCCTCTTGCAACCCGTGATAGCATTGCCGCAGGTTGCCATGGCAACGCTCCGGCATGCATTGCGTGTCATGCGGAGCGCTACCATAGCAACCCGTGGCAATGCTCCTGCGGTTTGTGACAGAAAAAGGCATTTTGCTGCCCCTGTGTCTTCTTGCATGATGGAGAGTCCCAGCAGTCAACATGAGTCTCCCCCTGGTCTCTTTATTTTCATTTATCCTTATTCCTAGGGGTAACCCCCCCACCGTCAGGAGCAACTTGACATATCTTCCCTGCTTTTATTTATCTAAATTATCTATTTTTAAGGGTTACAACACCATCATGATAGTTGTTGACCGCTTTTCTAAAATGGCACACTTTGTTCCGCTTTAAAAGATTCCCTCTTCCCAAGAGCTGACCCACATATTTATACGCCAAATAGTCAGATTGCATGGTATTCTGCTAAACATTGTGTCAGATACGGGTTCCCAGTTTGTGTCATGATTTTGGAGAGCATTTAACAAACAGTTGGATACTGAAAATCTTTTTCGTCATATTACCATTCCCAAACCAATGGAGCATCTAATCAATAATTGGAACAATATTTGAGATGTTTTATTAATGGCACTCAAAACAACTGGTCTGATGTACTCCCTTGTGCCGAATTCACCAGAAATAATGCTACTCATGACTCATCTGGACATAGCCCATTCTTTGTTAACAACGGTCGTCATCTTACTGTCCTCCCTGCGTTATTCTCTGACACTGCTATTCCCGCTCTGGATGACCATCTCACGTGCATACGCGAGACTTGGACGAAGGTCTACACAGCTTTGAAAACAACTGCTGCTCGTTTAAAAATGCATGCTGAGAAGAGAGGCGTGGTGCCAACCCTGGTTACCAGGTAGGTGTAAGGGTATGGCTCACCACACGCAATATTAAACTCAAGGGCCCTAGCGTGAAGTTTGCACCCAGGTTTATTGGGCATTTAGAATAGTTTGCAGGATTAATCCTGTGTCTTATTCTCTGGCTCTCCCTGCTGCGTATACCTAATACCTTTCATGTATCCCTACTGGAGCCCCTTATCTGCAACAGGTATACCTCTGCCCTTCTGACCCTCCCCATCCTTTGGTTGTTTCTGGACAGGAGTTGTATGAAGTCTTCTCTATACTTGACTTCAGATTTGCTCAAGGGTCTCTGCAATATTTGGTTGATTGGAAAGGTTATGGGCCTGCCGATCGTTCTTGGGTTTCTGCTTCAGACATACATGTGGGCTGTAAGATCTGTTCCTTCCATGCCAAATTTCCCCTCAAGTCGGGTCCTGCCCACCCGGTGGGTGGTCTTCAAGTGGGGGGAACTGTCACAGTTCCGCGGAATTCTGTCGGCATGGCCGCACAGAAACACAGCGGTCACACTGACAGAAATAATAAATACGCCGCTGCGGTTCCGGTTTTAATAAAGATGTAGCTTTTGCCCATATTAAAGATCACGCTTACGTGCGTACGACATAACGTCATAGACGTTTTGGGGTCAGAGGCCACATACAGCCAATTACTGCTTCAAGGGGGTTACTTAAACCCAAATCGGCTTTTGAACAGTGGCCTGTGGTGGTTTCCCTTTGATGGTTATCCGAGAGTGTGTTCCTGGTTTTGGACCTTGTGCTACGTTTTCTGATTTCTGGTATCCTTGACTTTTGGCTTTCCCTAATCGTTGTTTCTCATTCTGTGTCCCTGACCTCGTCAAGTATTTTGACTATTCTTGGATACGTTAAGTCTGGCTATCCCAAGTCATAAGTGTGACACTATTTCTGTGTGCTGGATCAACACTAATCCTGACAATACTGCAAATAAGGGAAATAGTTTAAAAAGTCTTCATTTTAACAATCTTTCTATTACTCCAAGGTGTCTGGAACAACAATGGCAGTGGTTTAGGCTGTGGGGATATTTATGGGATGATAATATTAAACAGTCGAGAATTGCCCACTATTTCAATACTCTTAGATCTTAGAGATAGTTTATCATGTAAGTGAAATGTATTCCATACAAATAAAATCACAATTTGTTATAAAAATAGATTTAATTTATTGTAACAAATTAACTATCAATAATATTAGGCAGCATGCATGATAATAATCAGTGAATATTTAGTATAACATAAGTATGCAATACAATGGCTAAACACATTACAAAGCTACAGCATCAACTTCACACAGCCCAGCAAAAACCTTGGCTAACAGTTAAATCAACTGAGTAACCCTTCCAATGCTGGCTAGATCCTCCTAGGTATATAAAATTAATTACTTAGTCTTCTCTGTCACTAGTGTCTGTGCTTATATAATGCATTCCTTAGCTCAGGCTCAGTGGTTAGTGAAAGCAAGGAAATTATGTGTCTTTGTTATCCTGAAGATAGCAAAATGGAGTCTGCTCTGTTCTGAGTGACTCTTGCAATATACATTTTTAATTTCTTTCTTAGCACAAAATGTCTGCCAATATAAATATCCTGATATAATCTCCCTTAGTGATTTTTCATAGCAATGATTAATTTAGTCTATGAATAAGCACTATAGCAGTTACCAGACATATTGTGCACATCATTTCTACTGACATACACCCGTGCGTGGAATTAACATTTTTGTACCTGTAAGAGCTTTGAACTTCACACTTAGTATAATCAACCATAATATTATTATTAATATTGTAAATTGTTTTCATTTGAAAAATGTTTTTGGGAGTTACATATGGTATGGCCAATAAAAAGCAAATCTCCATACGTTCCGGATCAATTAAGAGAGGTATAGCGCTCCCCATCTCAAAGGCCAGATTTAATTGCATAGGCTCAATTGTTTCTCCATCCACACTGGCAAGCATCGCATGAAGAATATCGTTGGATACAAAGTACAGAGGTATGCTTCCCCCTGCCAATTTGACCAATTTGCACTTCGTCAAAAAAAAAAAAAGCAAGTGTGTGGAACAATATTGGGTCATGTAGAAATAGAAGTTCACGCTTAAATAAGTCATGACTTTGGTGCAACTCAGTGGATTTGGCAATTAACTCTGAATGAAAATTTGTTATAATAACTGTGTCTTGCACAATAGTTAACACATCTTGGAGAAGTGTTCTTTGCTGATTTATCACCTAATGAATATCGTTAATGTGTTGCTTTAGCGCATAGATTTCCATATCCAGCTTTTGGACAGTAATAGAGTTGGCTGCAGACATTCCAGTTGTGACAACTGCACCGACAGTGGCACAAACTAATGCAACAATTATGGCGGTAAGGAACCTTTTGGGTCGGTTGCTCATCGAAATAGTACTGGATACAAATGGTTTCCGGGCTTGCTCCAAGATGTTCCGCACACGGTCCTGTGCTGTTTGGAGGTGCATCTGGTACCAAGTTTGTAACTCAGGAAGCTGCATCGATGAAATGTTGTATGCCTTCTCAATGGAAATCTTAGGGTCCAAGCTGACGAACACACGTCGGGTCAGGATCCTCTTCTCTGTCAAGATGAACCCTGGTGTCTCTTGAATCAGTATGCCGGAGGATGGTCCCATCTCTGCGATCGGGTCGGTCCGTAGCTCTTGGCACAGGGGCAGTACGATCCAGAAACACGCCACATCCTTCTTGGACATCTTTCGACAGTCACGGATCAGGAACTCGTTTCAGACTTATCTACTAATGATTCAAGGTTTGTTAAGCATACAAACTTATAACAGTATGACATCACTTGGCCTAGGACAACACATTATTACGATTCATCAACATATGTATTCTCTCTAATTCTATTTTTATAACTTCATCCCTCACTACATTTATTACTGACTCTTCAGTAATTCGCCTATAGCAGCTAAACCTGCTAGTAACCTGCTTAGAAAATGTAGTTATTGGATGGCTAGGAAATGGTTAATGACATGAACGTAGATGAGATCATGGCACATCACAACATTTCACATCATACGATACCACGTGAATCAAGCATTCATCCAGGTTAGTCTTCACTCTTCTGCATCCGAATCCACACCTATAATCCTTAATTGAGATTTAGGATGACAAGCACGCAACTGGTTAATGTGAACCCACTTTTCATTAAAATCACCATCCTTAGGAATTTTTATCTTATACGCTACAGGGGAAATTTTGTCAATGATGACATATGGCCCTTTCCAAGAAGGTAAAAATTTATTTTCGCAAAGTTATACAGATAGACTTGCTCTGTTATCTCATATTCCTTTTTCGTGGTTTTTAAATCGTAATAGGTCTTAACCCCTGTCGCTGCTTTTTCTAGATTCTTTTGGGCAAAAGCAAACGCATGCTGTAAATGCTTGCGCAAATCTTCGATATACTGATGCGTAGTGGCGGCATTGATCAAGTTATGATCCGAAGTACGATATAGTAAATGCTGTGGTAGAACCATCTTTCTTCTTGTCATCAATTCAAAAGGTGACAATTTGGTAGCAGTGCTAGGTGTAGCTCTAATCGCCATTAAAACAAATTTAATGTCCCAGTCTTTACCAGACTCCTTAACATACTTCTTCAGAATATTAACGATAGACTGGTTATATCGCTCTACCCCCCCCGCTACACGCAACGCGGTATGCAATATGTAGCTTTCGTTTAACGCCTAGAATTTTCCACATCTTAGCCATTACTTAGCTGGTAAAGTCACTACCTCTATCTGACTCAATTCTTTGAGGCAGACCGAACCTGGAAAAGACATGGTTAATCAACAAAGTGGCGCACACGGTACTCGTGTTCTCTTTACAAGGCAAACACTCTATCCACTTTGTGTACATACATGTAACGGTTAACATGTATTTGTTACCTCTTGAAGATCTTGTTACAGGACCTATAAAGTCAATTTGAATATCAGACCAGGGTAATGACACCCCCCTCTTCTGAAGTGGTGCACGATGGGTTGGACCATGGGGTTGATATTGCAGACAAATCAAGCATCCCTGACAGTATGTCTTAACATCTCTTAACATGTGTGGCCAATATGCATAATCACGCAATCTCTCATATGTGATCTTATCACCACGATGCCCAGATGTAGGTGCATCATGTGCGTGTTGGAGCATTAACCCTCTGTATACAGTTGGGACTACCCATTGTTGTATACCATGTTTAGAAGTTCTGACCAGCAACCCATCCATGATACTAAATTGGACTTTATATCTCATCAAGATTCGTAAATCTTCATTATCATTGCAATCCTCATCTGTGATGGAATTGGCAGTAGGGTCTTCTATATGTCTATAGAATATGCCTATGACGGGATCGGTCTTTTGACTGGTAATCAGGTCCTCACTAGGAGTTTCTTGACTCCATTGCACGACGTTTAAGTCGGCATTATCTCTAGCCTGTCGTCTAGTTATGGCTTCAACATGAATTGAACCCATAAGATTATCAATGTTTAGGGTTTCACCATTGAAGGCAGCTTGTTTTGCCAGTGAATCGGCTAAGTCATTACCATCCTTGTCAATACCTTCTATTTTAGAATGGCCTTTGGTTTTCTTCCAATATATGGTTAAACCATTTTCCTTAACCAGTTCATCAATTTTACAAAACAATTCCCCATGTTTAACAGGTTTGTTATTGCTTTTCAGCATTTGGTTACGTTTCCAGCTAGGCAAATATTCTACAAAACTGTTGCGAACATAGTTGGAATCAGTTATGATAAATTATTTTGATACCATATTCTATTGCCATTTGAATGGTCTTATATACTGCACAGAGTTCGGCTATCTGACTGATTTTGGGACCAATATTGTATCCTATAGATACATTGGGATAATCACCTGTCCAGGCGATTCTGATACCTGCAACTAACTTCCGTTCAGCACCAGCGGCGTGGTGATATGAACAACCATCAATGTATACCCACGGTAGTGGTCGACAGTATTCCTCTTCATAAACTTTATAAGAGGATAGCAATTGCTCTTCTAGGAAGTCATCTCCGGTGTCATTATCATCCAGAGATGGAGCAGTACGGTCATGTAATTCTGCTAAACCTTGGGCAACTGGGCTTCTCTTATTATGTTTATAACGGACTTCTAGCGGCCATCCCTGTAAGGATAGAGTCCATGCAGTAATCCGACTGTTCGAGAGATTACCGTCTCTGGTTCTTTCACTCTGCAGATACTGTAGAGGTTGGTGAGCTGTTTCTACAATTATTTTCTCACCTTGGATATAGCTACGAAAATTTTGTAGTGCCCAGACAGTCGACAATAACGCCTTCTCACACGTGTTGAATTTAACTTCAACAGGCGACAAAGTCTTGCTAGCATATGCAATAACTTTGTTTAGACTGTCTTGCTTCTGATACAGAACAGCACTTATGCTTAAATCGGTATATCCTGTCTCCAGATAGAAGGGTTTACCCCCCTCTGGGTATGCTAAACAGGGTGCCTGAGTGAGCTTCCTCCTCAGTTCACTTACCGCTTGGTCCTGAGGTTCCACCCGGTTCCAGGTAGTTTCCTTTTTAAGCAGGTGTAAGAGTGGTTTCGTTATTTCTGCATAGTTATCTATAAACTTACGGGAGTAGTTAGTCATACCAAGGAACGATCTTAATTTTAGCCTTAATTACAGCTTCAACCTTTTTCCTCTGGGGATTTAATCCTTCAGAAGTTTCCTCGTGTCCGAGGAAATTGACATGGGTGCGACACCATTGCGCCTTTTGTAAAGACAGTTTTATCCTTGCCTCTCTTAACTGAGTGAGAACATGTCTAATCTCTATGATATGCTTATCAAAGGAAGTGCTTTTCAGCAAGACATCATTGAGATATGATAACGTTCCTCTCTCGAGTGCGTCAGGCATAGCTTTATGCACGAAGACAGCGAATTCATGACCAGAGTTTATGTAACCGAAAGGCATACGGGTCCAGGTATACTGCTGCTTTCCAAATGTGAAGACCAATTTGTATTGGTCTTCATCATGGACTGGTACAGTCCAATATCCTTGCGCACAGTCAATGGCAGTGAATATTTTGGATCCCTGCATTTGTACCAAACATTGGTCTATGTATGGCACTGGCCAACCAGACATATAGACGCGTTTATTTAGCTGTCGTAAGTCAGCGCATAAACGCCACTATCCATTTGGTTTCAGAATTCCCAGGATCGGATTATTATACAAACTGTGCACCGGACGTATAATGCCCCTTTCCTTTAAATTCAGAATGATGTCTTGTAGACCATCATATGAAGCTAATGGGAGTCTATATTGTTTGATAAATACAGGTGGTAAATTTGGATCAGTTTGTATTCTGGCTACGTGGAGGTTAGTTAACCCACAGTCGTAGGAATCTTTGGCAAAAATATCTTGGAATTCCATTAGGATTTCCTTTAGCTGTTGCCGCTCAGCATCGTTGGAGAAACCGTCAGCTAAAGATATTTGCTCTTTTAGCCTTTCCTGAAATCCTGGAAAAATTTCAGGCTGCCTATCTCATAAGCTTCTTCAAGCCTAGAAGCTAGATCAGTTCGGTGTTGACTTACCTTTTTGTCATCGTGATACTCTTGCAATTCCTGCTCATTGAGCGGATGATCGAAGGTGATTGATGCTTCTTCGGTTTTACACGAGCCTTCTTCGACGTTAAAGGGATACAAAGATAGGATAGTAAATAATCCTTCTGGGGAGGAATGGAATATTTGATTGACAATTTCGTCCTCAGTTAAGTATTCTTCAGGGATGAGGCCTATAATTTGGTTTTGGAAACCAAATGTATAGTACTCAGCATCCAATGCTAGACCTAATAATATTCCTTTTGGTAAAGTAACACTATTGGGTGTAACATTGTTGACCATTATATAGGTGGAATTCTTACCAATACTTACCATTGGTGTATGCGTTACCACCATCCCTGATTGTTGTATCCTGTTAGATAAACAGATTAGGGCATCAGAGTTTTCCAATCTCTGACCCTTCTTGACCTGTAGGGGTAAAAGAAAGTTACTTGTCCCCTGTGGAATGGTTATGTCATCAGGAACTTGGATACTTACCGCATATGGGAGTATTTGTCCTGATTTCAGGGTATTTTCCTCGTGTAGGTATCCACAAGGATTACCTTTTAACCTTGTCCACAAGTTGGAATTAATCAGGTCAAGGTGTATGGCAAAGCGATGTATGACATCATTGCCGATGTAAACCTGATAGCGAGGTTCGTTTATCACTAGGAATAAATGTTTAACTGTCTTATTTCCGATGGAAATAGATAGTAAACATTTTGCTATCACATTGTGACTCTCTGATTCGCCATCCAGGTTCTGGATCCACCTGTCATGTGGGGAAGTGTACCTGATCATTTTAGGATTAGCGATCTGCTTTAACAGACTTCTGCCAATATAGCTGTTCTCACTCTTTAAGTCCAACTTTGCATTCCTACTTCTTCCTAAGTCATTTATTTGAATAGGAAATAATAAGTTATTAACCCTTTCAATTCTGGCAAGGAATTGAGCATGACCTGCCAGATCTACAGATTCAACATAGTCCCTGTGGAGAGAAATGGTAAAAAAAAAATCACCTTCCAGAGAGACATTCTGGATCCTCTCTGGAGCAACTCTTACGGAATGCTCATCTACAGGTGCGATTGCATCATTCACCTGCAGGATAGTCACGTCAGGTGACTGACTATTTCTAAAATGTACCTCAATCGAGTCAGGTCTTTCTTCTATCACATGGCAATTACGATCAGATTGAACATGTGATTTCTTATAGGTTATAGGAACCTTAGCTTGTGACCATACAATTCCATTTACACAGTCAATAATTGTGTTTAGTCTTCTGAGTATGTCTATCCCCAGAATCAGTCGGTCATAGGGGCGATCTACCACTATCACCGGGTGTCTAAAGGTTTTGTTACCTATTTTAAATTTTAACCAGGTATTGCCGATAACATGAAAGGCATTTCCTCCTATACTCAACTGATTGGGGAAATCTTTTAGCTTCGGCTTATCCGCTGCTAAGTCCATTACCTGCTGGAAGTAGGTATTGGATAAGATAGTGGCTTGTGAACCAGTATCTATTAGCCCTTTGAAAGGCCAGGGTAGCGAATCCTGTATTTCTACAGACATGTAGTTCTTCTAATTCACATAAGAAGTTAGAATGTGTCAACATATCACTCGTTTTCCATACGTTACCTGTCACAGCAGTAGTTTCTACCTGTGCTGAGGAATGCTCAGTCTTACCCACAGGCCCATCCTTCTTAGGAACATCTTGAACTGTCAAGCGGTGAACTTGTGGACGGCATCTCATCAGTTAACCCTTTCAGGTCTAGATCCTGGAAACCAGTGGTTGCTGGGGCTATTGTAGCCTTTGGCTGAAATGAAAAAACAGGAACACGTTGCGCCTCCTTCACCCGGAAGTGAAGTGACGGGGTAGGCAATAGGTTTCCTAACACAACTATTGTTTGTTTGACTGTGAGTATCTGGAAAGGAAACAGGGTTAGGTCTACTGGCAACCTGGCCTGTTTAGTCACAGTGGCTATTATTGCTGCGGCACCTGTTGCTGCTGCTGCTGCAGTTGCACAGGTGGCTCTGCAATTCTAGCTATGCCTAAAAAAGGATTTCTGGCAAAAACTTGGTTAATCTTTGTCATTTCCTCATTAATTTGCCCATCTGGTCGGTCAATTAACCAACCAGACGACGCAAATTATTATCCCCCATTGCCGTTTTGTCTTTGCCCATTAGAATTTGGCTGGGATGGCTGAGACTGTTGGGAGTTACTGGAAGCAGATTGGTTGTTTCTGTTTCCATACCTCCTATTTCCCTGAGGATTCCTTCTCCATTGGGAATTGCCTTGGTTCTTATTAACCCAGGGGCGTTTATTCCCATTGGCATTGGATTTTTCAGAGTTATTATCAAAAGGAATTTACAGAATTGCTTCCGGCGTTTTCCTGTTTCTGAGGTGTTGGAGTTTTCAAAACCTCAGAATAGGTCCTCTTTTTCTGTTGGGTTTCTAAACCTAACTGAATTTTAGTCTCTGACACCATTTTATCACCAGGTTTCTTAACCTTTGGCTGATTTTCGTCATGTGCATGGCGTATAGTATACAATTTCATGCACTGACTGTCTAGCCATTCTAATGGTAACTTACAATCATAATCTCTTGCGAGATTCATTTGTATGCTTACCGGCATGGCATGAAAATACAGATCTTTGAAGTCTGTACTTTCATACCTGGGTTTCCTTTGGGCCACGGAATATGCATTTTTAAGAATTATTAAAAATTCTCTGGGGCTTTGATCTGGACGGCACTTTAAATTATAAAGCGCTTTCTTAGCAGAAGCAATGGTTTTATACTTACCATATTCCATGATTATTTCATATTTCATCTTGGACCAGGACATTAGCTGTATAGCTTGAAGACTTTCTAGATAAACACGGCACATTGAATCAAAGGTCCATGTAATGAACCATTTCTTTTGGATTTCATCATACATGCCCAATGAATTCATGGCTCTTTCATAATTTTCCAGATGTTCAGAGATGTTTCCTGAACCTCTAGAAAATTGTGGGACTGTCTCTTTAAGGAATTTAATAACCTTTGGCGTTTCATAAACAGGCATTGATGATTTACGACCTCTGTTTCTGTGTTTGGGTAAACGCCTATGCGATCCGGCTGCTGAAGAGGAATTAGATCCGTACAACAGTGCAGATGGCATATCAGTCACATGGCCTTCAGAGTGGACAGTGCAATCACTTTTCACTCCCATCACTCTGAGCATCACGTTCACTGTCACAATTCTGATCTGCATCGGAGTTCTGCCAGTGTACAGAACCATGTCTGTTTTCATTCCTATCACCTGGAACCTGATTCCCTCCGTCAAGTTTGGCCAAGAAAGTCTTTTCAAACTGTTCTGCCCAAGATTGCCAAGATTGCTTGGTAATGTCAGGAGATAGGGAATCTTGTTCCACGGGTGATTTTTTTGAACTACTCACATCTTTTCTTTGAGACTGTTCTATGAAAACCTGGTTTGTTGTGGGAAAATCATAATAAGGATATCCATACGGTCTCAAAGACAAAGTAACCAATCTGGCGAATTTCAATGTGAAAAAACTGAAACAAGCCTTATCTTTGACTCTGTAACATTTTAAAACACCATAAAATCTATACATGAAGTGTACTGCTGTACTCAGGAGAACTCGTTTGTTAAGACACCTCCAGTGTCCTTAGGCAAAACCGCCATTTAATAGACCTTAATATCAGTAACTCCGTTCGCCTAACCTGTAGTGCACGAACCAAATGCAGGGGAAGCGGCAATCTCCCGACCGAGATCCGTGAACGGCTCCAAACTCCCGAACGGCAATACACGAACTGCTGCTAGCCGCTGAACAATAACATCTACCAAGCGGCTTTTGTTTCCATCCAGCAGTCTCTAAACGTGAAGAAGAAATCCCCCCAATAACGAGACAGAAGCTCCGCATTGAGGGTCAAACAGGATCTGGCTTTACTGTGGGCTACCAGTATTTATGCAGGTCTCCCACTTGGTGGACACTCCCCTAGGGGACCAAATGGGAGACTTAAATGACAGACAGATATGGGGGCATTCCAGACACATAGACACAGTTTATACCCACAATGCACTCCCTCCCCTCTGCCCTGGAGATAATTACTAAGTAACTCAATTATCTCCAGGACAAAGCCAGTCACCATTTTAAATATAAAATCATAAAATACACAAAAATACATAACTTTAAAACAACCGAACATTTCCCATTCGTATCACATATCCCCAGATAGCCTGGATCTGAGTGCATATTATTAGCGAATAGCGCTCAGATCCCACACACATAGTTCAATCACCATGGAGTCAAAGTTCTTACAGTCTTTCGGTATACGAATGACTCCATGGGAAGGCTATCTGGGTTAAGGCCTTTCGTATGCTTCAAACCTCCCGAACGGCTGGTATTCGTATGCTTTCGTGGAGGCAGCCAGGCGTTCCGTTTCAGCGGTGTTCGGCCGGCAGAAAAAGTGTCCGTTTTCAGTTCCATAGAAATAGAGCCAAACACCGCTGGGCTTTCGCGTGGTTTAAAATGGCCGCTGCCTCGTGGTCGGCATACGAACGACGACCACCCTGAATTCGGTTTAATTGAGAAGTGTCTGCGGTTAACCACAACGTTCTAATTGGGATCAATAGGTTAACCAGCAGCACACTTCTCTCTTGGGTGGCCATCCGTTCGGTAGGTTTGTGCGGGAAAAACAGTCATTCGTATGGCTGGGCTATAGAAACAGCCATTTACACGAAAGGGGGCAGAAATAGACAAATCCACCTGAAATAAGCAGACAGATGGTTCTGTCACATCGTTGAACACAAATATTATAGTTTCAAAACCATAAAACGTATTCAAAACAATTGTATAGTCTGTGTAAGTACTGTTTTGTGTGTGAAAAACGCAAGATACGTCACTTTCACTGGTGATATCATCGTTGTAATACATTTTACGGTTTTGAAACACTAATGTGTGTTCAGAGACGTCTCCAAAGTAAAACAGTACCCCCCCTCCCCGTAAAGGTTTTATGGTGTCTTGGAAAATTAAAGGATAAATATAGTGCTAGCAAATTAAATTCTCTGGACTTTCTGCCTGGGTTATCAGGCAGGTTCCGCAAATTGTAATTAATAAAATTACTTAATTATGTAAAAATACTACATTAATATATGTAGACTTAAAAGATATAATTTTTTTAAATGATTTTTATTTATAGTGATATATACATATATATTTATGTATATAGATATTTCGCTCTTAGTGTATTTTGATATCTATATATTAATATCAAAATACAGTTCGAACTAAATTATATATAATTATACTTATATTTAATGAATATTCTACATGTATTTTGCTTATATATTAAAATACACTTAGTGTTTGTGTATATATATATATATATATATATATATATATCTCTAACTAACTAGATATTATTCTAAACTGTATTTAAAAAAATTTCAGGGAGAAGGAGGACTACCTGTCGTTCCAAGAACTCCCCCTGCTGGCATTGCTATGGACGGTAATTCTGCCCATGTGATTGTGATGTCCTTGCAAGTGCCGGATCTGAGGCAGGTGGACTCCCTGGGATGCCAGGTAAATCCCCCCATCGCCATCCCACGCTGGTGAGCGGGTAAGTACCCTGGATGTACCCTGGACCCGTCGGTGTTTAGAGCTGGGTCCCCAAGGACGGCATAGCACGCCCACCATCCTTAAGGGGTTAAAAAGGATTATTCTTACCAATGTAGTGACACATCCAGTCCTACGAACTTTGTTGCTAGTACTCATGTTCATTCAAGTAATAACATTGAAAAGTGTTTAGGGACAGGGTATAGGCTTTAGTAGCTACATTAAGCTGAATTGGTTCTGGTGACTATAGTGTCCCTTTAAGAATTTTATTTTTGGCGTTGAAAAACCTTGCTCCTAACTTTTTTTAGCTGGCTCCTAGATTCCAAGGAAATTTGTCAAGCCCTGTCCCTAAAGGGTGGTAATTTAGGACTGAATGCACCAAATCAATGGTAAAACCCAAGAACTAAAAATCCTGAACCAGAGAGATTTCAGACTTCTTTGAGTTCATGACAAACACTATGAAACACATGTTGCATACAGTGGCAGGGTCCCGCACGAGGAGAAGGATGTCATCCAGTTAGATGAGGGACCTAAAACAGCATACCCAAACAAAAGCCATACCAGTTCAGGAGCCAAGTGAAAGATCACAAAGTCAAGCAGAGACTGAACGGAAGACAAGTAGAATTGACCCCAGAAGAATTAGAGAAAGCGTTGGTGCGAAGAATAAAAGGGGCAATGAGATAAGCATCCATCAAGTCCAGTTTAAAGGCAACCTCCATTTTGGAGATGTATATCTTTCATTTTGAAGTGGCGATACACCACAGAAAAACTGAGGTGTCTTAGAAAGATGATGGGATGGAAATGCCCAGTCTTCTTGCAGCCCAGAAAAATATATTGTGCTGTGGCCGATTTGGAGGTGCCTACGTTTTGCTGAGACAAAAGCCCCCATGTTGAAATGCTCAAGTAATCTCTTTAGGATGAATCTTTACAAAGCAGCCCCAGAATCGAGGCCTGACGGCTGAGGAAGGCAGCACAACTTGCTCAAAACCCTTGCGAGGGTCACGCCAATCTAGCAATTTCCACAAAACTAATTAAGTAAATTTTCACCCAATCTGGGTAAAGCTTCCCCCATCATAAGAGAAAGAATATCAGAGATCACCCAAAAGTTTCTAAACTGATGAAATTTGTAATGATACCACCAGCAAGAATGTCCGCCACCACACAGGAGTGGGTTTCTGTGAAGAAGTGTTTTAAATAACTGCACTGCTCTTTATAAAAAAAAATAAAGTATTTTATTAACTTGCTAACTGATTTAAGTAATAAAAGCATATCATTTTTTTCTGGTATTCTTTTCCTTTAATCTAAAGCCCCTTTCCCCCATTACAACATGAATCAATATTGTGGAAAAAATAAAATAGAATATATATTCTATCTTAATATTGTAGGTGCATTTCCTTTGACAGTGTCCAAGCTTTCACCATTATATATGTAATATCTAGTACAGGGGAAGGTAACCCAGTTACTTACAAGGATTGTTTGCGATATCCGGATAAGTGCAGGAAGTGTTAAAATGAGATGCTAAATAGTGCTCCATTACCCATTGTCTGCTTAGCTGCTGCAACAGCACCAAATCTTGATTTGTTATATTTTGGACTTCATTGATTTTTCAATAAGTTTAACAAGCATGTGTATTGTTATTTTCTTATCTAGTCTATGGGTAGTATCTTAGCTGTTCCTAGAACTACACTCTTCGGGACAGTGATCTCAGATGTTCCACCTGAAATCTATTGAAGTCACAGCTCCTATCACAACTGGGACTACTCCTGCCTTCACGTTGCACATCTTTTCTAGCTCTTCTGTCAGTCCTTGATATTTGTCCATCTTCTCATGTACCTTCTTCCTGATGTTATATTCACTGGGTATTGCAACATCCACAACCACTGCAGTCTTGTGTTCCTGGTCTATTACCACAATGTCAGGTTGATTGACCATTACATGCTTGCCTGTCTGAAGTCCCACAGGATCTTAGCGCGGTCATTCTCAACTTCAATTCTCCCATATGGACTTAGGCAGGTCTAGCCCATATTTTTAGCAGATGTTTTGGTAAACAATCCCAGCAATTTAGTGATGTCTCTCAGTACATGCTGTTCCTGCTAACCTCTTGCAACTGGTCACAATATGCTGGATTATCTCAGAGGCCTCTTTGCACAGTCTGCACCTTGGGTCTTGCCTTGTGTAATAGATCCCCGCTTCTATTTATCTGGTGCTGAGAGTTTGTTCCTGTGCTGCTAGGATTAGTGCCTCAGCGTGGTCTTCATTAATAAATTGTGTATATATATATATATATATATATATATATATATATATATATACACACACACATATATATATATATATATATATATATATATATACACACACACACACACACTTTTAATACAATGTTAAACAAAAATCTGCAAACCAGTCAAGCCATAAGACTACCGCAAAGGATTCTGGGTGAGAATATGCAAATTAGTTTAACAAAATCAAATTTTTGCTTTATTCCATTTTAAACATGGATTCCTTTGAGTCTGTGTTTGCTGTATACAACAGCATGAGCTTGGTTACTGGTTTGCTCATTGAGGCTTGGTAGTACATGGGAAGCGAAAAACTCATGCTAATGATTTGTATTAACAATGAAACAGCTGTCCATGAGTGGTTCACTGGCTTTGCATATTTTCCTAAGTGGTGTGTCAAAGCTGTTTACAGCAAACACAGACACAAGGGAATCCATGTTTAAAAGGGAATGAGGCAAAAATGTGGTGGTTTGTTTGATTTGCAGCTATTTGAGAACAGATCAAGATCAATCACTTTAGTTGGTAGGGTAAGCTAATGTGTGAAAAACTATCATACTTTTTGCAAGTCTAGGCCAAGTTCGGTTAATCCTGCAATCTAGCAATTTCCACAAAACTAATTAAGGAAATTTTCACCGAATCTGGGTAAAGCTTCCCCCATCATGAGAGAAAGAATATCAGAGATCACCCAAAAGTTTCTAAACTGATGAAATTTGTAATGATACCAACAGCAAGAATGTCCGCCACCACACAGGAGTGGGTTTCTGTGAAGAAGTGTTTTAAATAACTGCACTGCTCTTTATAAAAAAAATAAAGTATTTTATTAACTTGCTAACTGATTTAAGTAATAAAAGCATATCATTTTTATCTGGTATTCTTGTCCTTTAATCTAAAGCCCCTTTCCCCCATTACAACATGAATCAATATTGTGGAAAAAATAAAATATATATTCTATCTTAATATTGTCAGGCACTTTAATTAATTGCATATATTTTAAATAAAAAAAATAAAAAAAGTTAGCCAGTACCAAAAACACCAGTATTTCTTATTGGAAAACTCACTTACAAAACATGAACAGGTGTAGTTTCTCCTTAACTCAAAACATTAACAAATCTTTTAGGTGCAGTTTGGCCCCATGCTAAAGACCCCTGCTAGGGATAGACTCGTGAAAAAGAAGTCTAAACTAGATTTATGAGAAAAAAAAAAAAGTTCTACTGATTTGTCTTAATGGAACCTTTTTAATTAACATCTGAACAAATTGATTCGCCCAGGTGTGAATTAAAAGCATTTTGTTTTGGATGAACCAGCCAAAACTAATTTGTGCACAAATCCAGCTTAAACCCAGCAATGTAGACTAGTCTACACCAGGTGGATAACCATACTTTGACAGGGTTAAATACTGAAGCAGGAGTTATCAGGAACTGAAAGTGGACTTCACGTTTTAGCTCTTGTAATTTTCTTTTATTCTGGAGTATTCACACTTGAATACCTACACCCACTGATCTATACTCTAAAGTTTACCACTTCATTGTGCAACATGTATTGACAAGCAACAGTTCATTTTCAGTAAGCAGCCTAAACTCTGGACTAATATTTTGAGAAGAGAGTAGAGTGTAACAGAAACAGGTTACATATAAAATCTCGTCTGTTGGGAATGTGCTACAGGATAGGCAGCCATTGCTTGCATAGGTTGAATGTTTTTATATTCAGTTATGCTCCATCAAGCAATAGAAGAAACAGAATGAATTCATGTTACCTTACAGTTTTGGGCACACACTTTCTACCTACACTTCAGTTAGGGAGCAGTTAAAGAATAGGTTAAGGGGTTAGGCAATGAAAGAAACTTAAGTTACACTATAGGCACCAAAACAAATTTAGCTCAATGAAGCAGTTTTGGTGTATAGAGCATTCCACTGCAGTCTCACTGCTCAATTATCTGCCATTTAAGAGTTAAATCCCTTTGTTTATACAGCTCTAGTCACACCTACCTGCATGCGACTTGCACAGCCTTCCTAAACACTTCCTGTAAAGAGTCATCTAATGTTTACACTTAGTTTATTGCACATTGTTTAAATTTTGAATCTACCCTGCTCTGTTAATAGATAGTCTTTTATACCCAGCCACAGCCCTCTGTGTGCAATTAAAGTTTAATTTACAGAGCAGGAGATACAAACTTCAAAAGCTAGTTAGCATCTTATTGAGCATTAAACCATTTTTGTCATGCAGGTTGTGTCAGTCATAACCAGAGGTGGTTTGGTTAGGCTGTATATAAATAAACATGTGATTTAACTCCAAAATTGCAGAGTATTTAACAGTGAGACTGCAAAGGCATGATCTATACCCTAAAACTGATTCAATATGCTAAAGTTGTTTTGATGCCTATAGTACCCCTTTACGGACCACAAGGCTAAAAGCTGCACTCCAAGTTATTTACTTGCATGCCACAGAACAATAGTGGAAGGGTCCACTCTATCCCCTTCCTTCAGTCTACCATTGCTTATAGGAGCAGGTGGAAATGATCACTCTCACACTCCAGCTGGCCATGTGCCATTTGACAATATTCAACAGGACTGTATTTTGATGGACTACTTTTTGTCCATGGCTAATTCAGTCTGTTAACTAGCGTTCAACTTGATTTTACTCAGTTGATGATAAACCATGTATCCTACAGCATACTTCAGCAAATATGACAAACCGTTGGAACATATTGCAAAAAAGTATTTGCTTCATTGTAGAGCAATTGTGGTCAAAAGCATTTCACATGGAAACACTAGACACAAAACAAGGTTCTCTTCACGATATTAGTGCTTTGCTGTATATGCTGGCCCTTTGCTAAAGATCCACCCAGTGTGCCTGAACAAATGCATTTACAATGCCATTAGAATCCCGGTGAATTCATTTATTCAGCTATTATTGCAGTCTGTGGCAAATGGCACAGAAGTCTCTCTCATGTGAAGGGACAATTTGGAATTTGAGATTGATTTATGCCTCTACCAGGGAACAGAGAGAAGGATAGGAAGAATCATTGGTTATAGGTGCATTAACCTAATTGGTTCCCCTCAAGTTCTGCCCAAACATATACATTAATATGGTTCTGGGTATATATGGAAACTGTTATGAATGTTCTATAGAGGAGGAAGAAAAGTTATATAAGATATACTTTTAACCCTATTTTCAAACAAAGGCAGTCACTAAATAGTAAATTAATAGGAATTCAAAATAAAGTTTTAAACAGGCGCAATAACGGAAATGGAAAAATTCAGTCATATTTGAATGCAGCTACTTTGGTCTACAATTTGGAATTCACAACTTACACATTTGTTAATAACCCTGTTGGAAAGGGGGTAAGAGCAGCAAAATTTGTTTGACATTTTTACAAAATAAATAACAAAAACACATGAACTCTATAAAATAGATTTCCCTATTAATAATGTGCTTATGGGCAGCAGTGGAAAGTGCAGTGCAGCATTGGTCAGCTGTTTAGTAGAATAGATGAAGAAATAAAGCAAATCCCATATTCCACTCCGCCCATTTCACCAACAGCAGTACTTTACACTTTCAATTGGTCTCTCCAGAATTAAGCCAATTCTGTTAGAGGTTATTTTCCTGAAGGCGAGGATAGCTTCTGGTGTCAGATGCAGGTTGTTTGAGATGTCAAGAACTTGCAGAGAGTAAAGGTTGGCCAACACAACCAAGGATTCTTCAGTTAACCTGGTATTACTGGTAGTGTAAAAAAAAAAAAAATTGTAAGTAACATCTATAGATACGAACAAAATACTCCAGGTTGAGGTAGTTTCATATTAAAATAGAATAACTATTAAAGTATAGATAGCTAAAAGCTTTTAACAAAAAAACTCATAACAGACAATTTATCTTGAGTGTACAGAGTACTTACTTAATTCAGCACAATGTCAGAATGACAAACGATGGGTATTCATTTTCACTGCCTGCCTAAATATGCTTTTAGATTTGCAAATTAAGTTTCTTTTGGAGGGATGGGGGTATTTAAATGGCAAAAGTTAACCCCTTAATGCCATTACCGCCTTATAATGGGCTTTAAAGCCGCTGTGGCAGCATGGAACGCTGTAACTGCTTTCAGCGCCTGGAGCTCTGGTGGACTTTCCTCCACCGTGATCCACTTCTTGGGGACTGCCGCGCAGGCTATTTAATCGCTCTCAAAGAGCGATCACATGGCCACAACAGGCATCTACGGAGATGGTTGCAGGGGAACTGCTTTGGCTGTCAGAAGAAAGAAAAAAAAAAAAAAAAAAATGTCATACTTACTGTATTGTTATAATATAATAAACGCCACCCTGATCAATCAGCATCTTCTTGTGGAGACTTTTAACGTCAGTGCTGCACACTGTGAGGCACTGACCCAGGAAGCACCTCCAGTGGCAGTCTGAGGAGTGGGTACTGGAGGTGTCCCAAGGCAGTAAATGTAAACACTGCCTTTTCTCTGAAGAGGTAGAGTTTATATAAAAAACATGGACAGGCTATACTCACCAGAACAACTACAAAAGTCTGTAGTTGATCTGGTGACTATAGTGTCCTTTAATATAGATTCCTCCATCTGTTGCTCCAGAAAGTCTGGAAAAGACACACACCACTTTTTTACATTAGAATACTTCACCATGAGAAACATTAAAAAGGTGTTCAGTGTCAGCCTAATGACACTAAATATGAATTCCGGTGATTTTTAAAAATCAAAACTATGTACTAGTTTTGGTGCTTAGAAAGCGCATTTCAGAGGGGTCTAACCTAATGTTAGACTTATCTCTCCAATTTCTAGCCTTACTGGTTTAACCCCTTAAGGACCAAACTTCTGGAGTAAAAGGGAATCATGACATGTCACACGTCATGTGTCCTTAAGGGGTTAAAAGGAACACTATAGCATTAGGAATAAAAATGTGTATTACTAAAGCTTAAGTGCCTTGTTAGCCCTTTAGAAACTTAGCTCCTAACTGCAGGGATGGGTTAAAAGATTATAATTAAAAAAAAAAAAAGAAAAAAAGGGAATTAGAAAATTAGAAAGAGAGGAGAATGTAAAAATGTGTGTTTTTATTTGTGTATAAACTACAGAGCATACCACACCCCCTTAACATTCTGGTAGTGTCCCATTACCTTTCTCTAGTCTAGAACAAGGTGATGTAGTTTTCAGGAGTGTAACATATGCTCTATAAAGCTTACAGTGGTGGCCATCATTCTTATGTGCAGTGTGGTAATCACTCAGTGCATATAGTACTATACACTATATTTCTTCATAAAACTTAAAATCAAAGTAAAATCACCCAATTATAATAAAAGTATATTGTACCAAAGGCACAGGGTTAATTAACACGTAGCTGCTCAAAACAAAAGCAAAAAGGATCAAATATGTAGGAGTTGGTGCAAGCAGTAAAGGAGAGATTGAAATTCATAGTTTTTCCTTGTTTGCTTGCACAAACCAAACCAACAAACGAGAGAGAGAGAGAGAGAGAGAGATATTATACATAGTATACAAAACAAAGCAGGCTGCACTCACGGACTTCTAAACTTCAAGTGTGATTTTATTCCATCCAAAAATAAAATCACACTTGAAGTTTAGAAATCCGTGAGTGCAGCCTGCTTTGTTTTGTATACTACATTGAAGGACCCTAAAGACTGGCACCCGGCAAGCCTAATAAGGCACATTGGACTACTTAAGTGTGAGTGCAAGGAAAATTCTACTATATATAATTTTATATATTTTATATATTTTCTAGTGATGCATGTATTTGTCTTAATGTGATATTTCAGTACTGTTCAATATATCTGAAATGATTTTTTGTACTGTCATGAAGTACTGAGTGTTGATGTAGGAAAAAAAAAAAAAAAGGATTTAAAACAATTGCAGCACAACACAGCAATATGAAAAATGAATGGCCTGATTGTACGGTATAGATTATATACATAAATTGATATGAAGCATACCTGAGGTAGAGTTTTTGCAGATGTGGAAACAAACAAGGGAACTTTTTCACAACATCTTCATCATATCCATACGAAAAATTTAAATTCAAACACTTTAGTCCATTGGCACTTTTTGAGAACCACACTAGAGCAGCATTGGAGATTTGAGTGCCCACAACACTGAGGTTTTCTAGTTTAGATGAAATTGGGCACATTAAGGGTTCAAAGGGTGCAGCCCCTGGTGAACATAAAACATGTTAAAATCAGTATCCGTAGTAGAATCATACAAGATCATCCAAGCAATTGAAAAAAAAAACAATAAGTCAATTTACAACAGTGGTTCACTACCTTCATCCCTTGTGTACCCCTAGGCAGCCCATTTCCATAATCTATATCCATCACATTAGCAAAATGTTTATGTCCTGATATGTAAAATATGCAAACATGGGACTCGCGAGATTTACACTGGGGAGCTTTTGGGAGGTAAGTAACAGCTTCCGGCGGGCCCCCCAGGACAGCCAGGCTTGTAATGAGCCCGGTGGCCTTGTTATGTATTATCGGCAATATCGGTAACTCTATTGGCCGATACAGATATTGCCGAAAAAACAGAATATCGGCAAAACCGACCTTCGGTCGATCCCTAAAAGGGAGTTGTGATCTTCCTGCTCAGCGCCATCACGCACGGCTTAGTGATGCCGGGGCCGGAGTGACGTCATATTTAAACCCCAGCCTCACACAAGGGAGCAGAGCAGGAAGATCACAAGCTCACTCGCCTACACTATGTGCAGCCAGCCGTCCTCGGTGGGGGAAAGGTCTCACAAATCCAAGTTGCCAGGGCAAAATTCCTGGTCGCAATGGCGACGTGGGATTTATCCAGCCCTGCAATAGGATGAATATAAAGGGAAGGGGGTAGAACATAACGCTATACACAAATATGTGTGGTAGCATGGCCAAATAGGGTATGGATGTTACATGAAAAGTGTTGACCATAACAGCATGTAACAGACTTAAAATATGTATTGGTGAACAAGAGCAAAGTAAGCCTATTGATCAGCTTATAAACAAAACAAAATGAAAAGAGCTAACCACTCAATTTAAACAAATTAGCTATGGTTCCTAGTATCCAATTCAAAATGAATTATTGAAATGGTTACGGACTAGACAGCTTGGTCTGTTCATAACTAGGAATACGTGATACCTAAAATTATTATTTTTTTTTTATTTATTTTTTTAAATGTAATTATATAAAATTATTTGTATTTAAAAAAAATACACAGATTCCTACCCCACATACACACATATAAATTCTGACTGACATGTATATTTTGTGCATTTACCTTAATAAATAAAAAGTTGCAAAACAAAAAATAATAAAATTTGTTCAGTTAACAGATTTGTGTAGAAATAGTCTTTTCAAAACAGTAAATGGACAGAATATCGGTAAGTTATCTGCCTGAAAGTTAACAGATTATAGGCATCGTATCGGCATAAAAAATAATAAAATATATATATATATATATATATAAATAAAATCAATAACGGTTGATCCCTAACACTACATACCCAGACATACGCAGATTACCATTAACTAATACACAAGATAGATATAAATCTATCAAGCAATTCTTAGTTGAAAAAGGATCACTATAGGGTCAGGAACACAAACATGTATTTCTGACCCTATAGTGCTAAACCCACCATTTATGTGGCTTCCACCCCTTAGGCCACATTATAAAAAAAAAAAAAAAAAAAAAATTAAAATTAAAAAAAAAAACCTCACATTATGTCCAGTGCCGCGCGGGTCAGCCTGTGATGGCTTCGCCCCCTTTGTAACATCATCAAAATGGCCTATTTTTAGCCAATCCAATGCAAATACTAGGCAGCAATAGGGAAAGCATTCAATTGGCTTAAATTGGCACAGGGGTGTGGCCAAATGCTGTTTTGGGCAATCAGGACCTCCTCATAGAGATGCATTGAGTCAATGCATCTCTATGAGGAAAATTCAGCGTCTCCATGCAGAGCGTGGGGACACTAAATGGCAGGGCTGCCTACTGTGCAGCAGTGAGGAAAGAAACCCCTCCAGTGGCCATCTAAGGAGTCGCCACTTGGAGGTGTTCCTAGGGGCAACGTAAACACGGCTTTTTCTCTGAAAAGGCCGTGTTTACACGAAAATGCCTGAAGGGAGCTTTTATATGCACCAGAACAACTGGTGGCGGCCATTTTGTTTGCAAGAACGTAGGCAGCGGTGCTTGGGCAGGAATCTCTTGGAACTAAAAATTGGATACAGAAACTCCCGAACCACGCTGGACTACCATCATCGCCCGTGTTTCGGTTCTATTCAACTTTGAAGGGCACTGTTCGGTGGGATCATTCGTCTGGATGAAGGAAACAAGCTCCAAGCTCCAGGGTATTGACTCTGTTCAGTAGTTTGTTAGTTTTCCACCTACCAAACTAGACTGACCGCTTTTGGGCATGGGACCATGCCTGCGGTCGGTTAAATAAGTTAGTTACTTTCATAAAATTCCTGAACCTCTAAACTGATCTGGGTGATTTTTGGATATGTTGGTCACCCAGATCAGGGCAATCGGGATATTGTGTTTTGGGGTACTTTTGGAAACGTGTGTTTTTTTTTCTGCCTGGAAATAATTGGGTTAAATACAGTATCTGACTCCATTATCTCCCAGGAGAAGGGAGAGATTGTATGCCATGAAATACTGTCCTTATTGTGAATATTGTAACTCATTTCGCCACAAGGTCCATGGGGGCGTACCCCTTGCATGGGGATTGTCATATAAGGCCAAGTGTGGCACAATTAAAATCAGTTCCTTTTCACCCTCCACACGCAGCCTCGTCTCGGGATTGTAGCGAACAGCTATACAGGCTATAATCACTAGCTCTTACTCTTAACCACAGCTATACTCTTGGCCTTTGGTCCAGGGTGGGAAGGGATGGCTAGACCCCAGCCAAGCTGCGGCGGTTAAGGCTTGGGGCTACGGTGCTGATGGTGCTCAGCTAGGAAGAATCGATTGGCGGAGGCACCCACTTGGGGTGCCAGATGATCGTCACACCAGCTTCTTGAAGATGAGATTTGCCAGAGTCGCTACTTGTATATGCAGCATGCTTTAAGCTCTAGTGTCAGGGAGATGGTGTGCAACTATATCGAGCCACAGTGATGTATTTCTGCCGTTCCAGTAAACTAGACATTAGGAGAGAGGGTCCAAGCCAGTGATATAATGTATATGTGTGCCAACTATGCTTCCACAAATTATGTCGCAATCAGGTTATAAGCCCAGTAGCACTCGTTATTTTATTTGGGTTGTTATTGCAATGATCCCAGGGGACGTCATGGAGTCGGCAGTCATGTATTAATATGCTTACAACGGGCACCAGTTGCGCACATTCCAGCCTGGGCAATCTCTAAGCAACTCTGCTTACAACAACAGGGGTGGGGGGTAGAGAGGGAGGAGAGTACCTGAATGTTTTTATGGTATAAGTTGTGTTGATATTTTGATCCACTTATGGCTTTTTCCTGCTGACATAAAGAAGAAATGTGATCCTTAAACCACATATGCTCACTGAAGTGAGCCTGTATACCGGCTCTGGGTTTGTGAGTACCTAATTCACTATTTTACATATATTATTTATAATACAAACAGTACTGCACTATATAACCCCTCCTGTACCCATATAGGACTGGATTAAAGAAAAAAAAAAAAAGAAGAAGGGAGAGGGTCACCTATACGGATCCTAAGGCGCTAAAATAGCTCAGAAAATTGTGAGTTGCTATTTATTTTCAAAATACAATCTGCACTATGCTGTGTATTTTTTTCTGTTTTACTTAAAGGTTAACAAGAGACTATTGGCAAACGTAAAAAGAAAGTATTGGGTAAAAGTTAACTTTCTTCCATATCTATTTTTTTTTTCACTTAAAGGACCACTCTAGGCACCCAGACCACTTCAGCTTAATGAAGTGGTCTGGGTGCCAGGTCCTTCTAGGGTTAACCCATTTTTTTTTTTTATAAACATAGCAGTTTCAGAGAAACTGCTATGTTTATGAATGGGTTAAGCCTTCCCCTATTTCCTCTAGTGGCTGTCTCAATGACAGCCACTAGAGGCGCTTGCGTGCTTCTCACTGTGATTTTCAGTGAGAGCACGCAAGCGTCCATAAGAAAGCATTGTAAATGCTTTCTGATGCGACGGGCTGAATGCGCGCGCAGCTCTTGCCACGCGTGCACATTGAGCCCAGGAGGAGGATAGGAGGCAGAGAGCTCCCCGCCCAGCGCTGGAAAAAGGTAAGTTTGTAACGAGTATGTTTTCCTGGCACTATAGTGGTCCTATAAGCGCTTCACCGGTACTCCTTTCTATTTTTCACCTTAATTTTCATTTTTTGAGCAATAAAAGGAATAATTTAAGAAAATTTTAATAAGTCCTGGGAGTACCATCTGATTAATTGCTACTACATTTCTGACAAGCACTGGGTATAGAATAGGTTTTTATATGGAGTGCAGGATCATACACACGTACAGATGCCGACACAGGCAAATACAAACACTGCCACACATGCAGATGCAAAACACTGACATATATGCAGATACACAGACATATGCCAAGACACACATACAAATACAGACACCCATAAAAAAAGGTCAAAATTTTAGCCACCCTCAAGTTTCCTACCTTTTTGGTGCAAAAGGGTGTCTAATGCTGGCTGGGCTGTTGGGAGGAGTTAGGGGCCTGCTCTCTCGGTCTGCCCCCAACCCCCGCCTCCTCTCCCTCCAGTTCGGTCTCCTATCTGGGAGGAAGGGACAGGCTCTATCTTCCTCCCTGCGCTGTGATATTACAGGGGCCTGGTATCGCTGCAGTGCATAATCAGGTCCCTGGGGACACATGTTCTAAGTACAAGGGCCACCGAATGAGCCCCCTCAGCCGGTAGACCCCGGTGCAACTGTACCCCTGGAAAAAATAGTTAGTACCCCTGGGGGTTATGCGTACCACAGGTTGGGAAGGGCGGGTTTACAAGACTTAAATATTGTATCCGTTCTTTCGATTCCTGTGCGGAAACCTGGAAGGGAAGCCTCTCCATCTGGGGTACGAACGCTCCCCCTGCTTGGCGCTCGTCTATATGAAATGGCGGCCACCCAGGGGAGCGCTCATTAATTGCTTTCCTTGTGGTTTACATGTATGTTGAGAGTGCAGATTTTCTATTTGAATGTTCTAACTCACATTCTAAATGGAATATTGGGGTCCCCGTTCGGGAGACAAAGAAGTTATTTTCATAGGAGCGCTCCCCAACAGTGCGTGGGGTATAACATACAAACAAAAAAAAACACACACACACACACACACACACCCACCCACCCCCCAACAAGCAGTGGTTCTGCCACAAGTATGTAGCATAATAAGGCTACACTTCCCTAAATATATGAAAGTAGAGAGGTGTTTAAACCCGGAACACAAGTGTAAAATGTTGAACTTTGTGTTTATGCAGTTCTAGTCACAACTTCCATAAACACATCCTGTAAAGGAATACAAATATTTAAATATCCTTTTTCACACAGCCTGTTTAGTTTTTAGCTCCTGATTTGTTAATAGTCGTTCAGTGAGCTTCTGGATGTTAAGAGACTGTTTTAGAGTCTACCATACAGAGCTAAAAACTATTGAGTTGCATGATTGACCAACTAGTTATTCTAGATTCCTGGCTTCATAGAATTGGCATATTATACAGGCCAAGGTCAGGGGATGAAGAAAAAGTGGGCTACACCAAACAACTCAACTAACACATTTTGAATACCCTGCACCTTTTGCAAATTGTATATCATCACGGGAGGTAAATTCTCTTTTCTGGGCTGCTCAAAGACAGGTTAGTCCCAGCAAACCAGAGAAAAAAAAATTAAAAAATTAAGAATGAGCAAGTCCCATATTTGAAAAAGGCCTTTCAAAATAAATCAGATTATGATTAAGACTTACATTCAAGTTTCAGTTCGGTTAGGTTTGGTAACTTCAAGAGTATGGTTTCTATGAAGTCTTCGTGCTGCAGATATTTGAAGTGCCTCAAACACACACTTTTGAGAGTAGATAACTGGTTGAGAGCGTTGGTTGAGAGGCCCGCACAGCCACAATTCATCAACTCAAGCTTGTGGAGTTGAAGCCTTGGAATACAGGGTTTATCTTAAAATATTGAAGAGAACAATAAAAATATGCTGAAAAAAAAAAATATATTCCTTCAAGGAAGGAACTACCATTGTTATTAATAATAGCTTACATTCATTAGAAGGGTTTACAAACTGCAGAATATCCTAGTTTAACCCTAGTTTATAAGAAGACAGATTTATATAAGAAATCAGAACTTAAACTATAAATTAACTAGGTAACACAGACAGGGAGGTATGCAGCCTTCTTTCGTTGGCTCCCCTGAGCTAATGGGAGTGGTAGACAATCTCTCATTGAGCATGACTGCCTCCTCTCCCCACATAGACCTCCGACCAGCTCCTCAGACCTCAGAGCAGACTTGCACCAATTTAGAGGCATAAGTTATTTTCCCATGAAGAGACTGAGTCTCTTCTAGGAAAAAAAAGGAGAAGGCTTGCAAAGGCTGCAGTTTATGAGAACGGAAACTTTTTCGAAACACTTAAGATATAAATCACCAATACATACATGCATTCATAAGAAATATATCTACAAAAAAAAAAAAAAAAAAAGTTTTATAAGTCCACCAGAGTAAAACGGACACAATCTCCAATAGGGATAGCTTGGATGTACATCAGATGCCCAATGCTCTTCTATGAGAAGGTCATGCCTCCCAACCCAAGGAATTTCAGTTTTAAGAAGTTAGTAGTCAAACTAGAACCAAAATCCACAAGTCACATCTTGATGCTGCTAATTTTTAATTAGATTCATATTGTCGATGGTAAAGGGATTTTATTTCACTAAATGCCTTTTTGCAGAGGATGTGATGATAATCCAATACAAATTAGGATATTTAAACATGGTCCTCTTCACCTACTGTCCATATTATATTATATGGGATTTAACTATAAATAGGACAATTATAAGAAAACTTACAGGAACGATAGGTTGAAAACTACCCTGCTCAAATGAGCTTACAGTCTATAGGAAGTGGGGTATAAAACACATTATGACAGGAAATAGCAAAACCGATAAAATCGGTCGACCCCTACTCCTATAGGATACAGGAAGCCAATGTAAGAACAGACTAGAGAGGAAGAAAAATAAATAAATAAATTTAAAAAAAAATAAAAAAAATAAAAAAAAAAGTCTGGCGGCAGCATTCATTACAGACTGTAGCGGGGCAATACGGCCTTTGGGAAGACCAATTAAGAGAGAGTTACAATAATCCATGCAGGAAATTACTAGAGCATGGACAAGCTCCTTGGTAGCATCATGTGTAAGAAAGGGGCGGATGCGAGCAATGTTTTTAAGATGGAATCTACAAGATTTGGCAACACACTGGATGTGGGGCTCAAAGGTGAGGCCAGAATAAAGTAGGACGCCAAGACAGTGCGCTTGCAAGGATGGACTTATGTGGATACCACTAACTTTAAGGGAGAGCGAAAGAGGAGGATCAATAATAGGAGGAGGAAAGACAAGAAGCTCAGTTTTAGAGAGCGGGAGGACTTCCAGTCAGAGATGGAAGAAAGGCAAGCAATGACATGTTGCAAGACGGCAGGGGAGAGATATATCTGAGAGTCAACAACAAGGAAAAACAGAGTATACACCCGTTTTAAAACGGATCTAGTCAACTGTGTATACCTGGAAATGATAAAGTAGTCTAGAAAAAAATCAAATCGATTCGTATGTTAAAACGAGGCTAAATATCCCTTTATATCAAAAAAATAAAAATAAAAAAAAAGTAGATAGAAAGTACATAAATAAACCCTGGATGATAGTAAAATATCAAATACTTTCTAAGCAATACTATACGCAGCTACTAAGAGCTTTAATAAATCAGGCTCAATATTACCACTGCAGTATTGACATAATAAAGAATATATCAAGCAGGGAACCAAGGTAAAAAAAAAAAAAAGGTTAAAAAAAAATAAAAATATGACTCCCACTACAAGAAAGCCTCTACTGTATATGTATTCTGTTAGAGTAATCCCAACATATACTATATCCTATGATGCCCTAGGTACATCAAAAATAGATAGAAATGAGTTATACATTCAACAGAATAAAATAGATAGATAGAGGCTATAGATGAGCAACTAATAGTGAAACTATGAAACAGATATCGTGGAGCTTAGAATGCCCACGGCATAGAGTAAATAGTTCTTAAATCCCCAAAGGAACAATGAAGGAGAGAGACCGATAGTATGTAACCACAGTCTTGTTAGTCTGGTGGTACAAAAAGCAACATTGTATGTAATAATGAAACAATGTCTGTCTATCCCAATATGGTTACTCAATCTTGCTAGTGGTAGGCACACTATCTACTTAACATGAAAACACCACCTAACCGTGAAATGATACAGTGTCACATAGTGAGTAAGCGTGTAATGTCCCTAAAGACCGAGACAAACGCCTGACGTGCATTTCGGTGCTGTGCAGAAGCACCTTGCGTTTTTGCCAACGCCAGAAGAGAGAGAGAGCAGTTTATGTGTGTTAAGGAAGGAGCAAGACAAGGGGAGAAAGATCTGATGAGATGGGATAGGATCGAATGGGCAAGCGGTGGGGCGAGAGGAAAGGAGAAGCGCAGTCACCTCTTGTTCAGTAGCCAGGGAGAAAGTCTGAAGGGTAGGAAAGGCATAATCTACGGGTTATTGAGAAAGAGAAAGGCAGGGTTGGGAAGAATTATTTCCTAAGCTGTTCAATCTCGTCGGTAAAGTAACATGCAATGCTATCGGCTGTAAGATTAGTTTGGGGGGTAGCCACAGCAGGGCGAATAGGAAAATTAAAAGTGTCAAAAACGCCTGGGATTGCGGGCGCATGAACTAATGAGAGGAAAAGTATGACTGTTTGGGGAGGGCAATGGCTGTGCTGTATGAACACAATATGAATCTATGATGGAGAAAGTCTAACTGGGTGCAAATCATCATTGCAGGTAGCGTGTTAATTTAGTATGCCACTGTTGGGGGCGCACTCTCCTCGAGGTGCATGTCTGGAGTGGGGCTGCAGAGGTGAGGGTAGTGTTATATGTGGAGATGGCCAGTGAGGGAAAGGATGGATAACAGTTGTGAATCAACATCAGCTAACAGCTGCTGGAGGTTAATAGAATTAAGGTTGAGAGGGTTTAGGCTGAGGTTGTTGGGTGAGGGGGTACTCGAGAGCAAATGATAAGAGGTGATGATCAGAGAGAGGAAATGGAGTGTTGCAGATACTGTACATGCATAAGAGAAGATTAGGTTGAGGGTATTGCCAGCTACATGGGTAAAAGAATGAGCCGACTGCGATAGACCGAGGGAGGAAGTAATTCAAGTAGTTTAGAGGTTGCCGAGGTCAAAAGATAGGTTAATGTGGGAGTGGGTAGAGGTTTGAAGGAGCAGTGAGGTGAGAGGAGAAGCCCTACAGCACCACCTTTACATTCAGAGGGTCTTGGGTTATGGGTAAGTTGAAGACCACCAAAGCATAAAGATGCAGGAGTAGCAGTGTCAGAGGGGGAGAGCCAGGTTTCTGTTAAAGACCACTATAGTGCCAGGAAAACAGTTTTTCCTGGCACTATAGTGCCCAGAGGGTGCCCCCACCCTCAGGGTCCCACTCCCGTGGCGCTGAAGGGGGAGGAAGGGGTTAATCCCTTACCTTTTTTTCCAGTCCCGGGCTCCATCCGCACTGGGGACTCTCCTCCCTCTTTTGATGTCCCTGGCTGAATGCGCAGCAAGAGCCGCGCGCAGCCAGCCAGTCCATGGGAATGCATTCAGTGAAAAAATAAAATAAAATCACAGTGAGAAGCGCCTCTAGCGGCTGTCAATGAGACAGCCACTAGAGGCTGAATTAACCCTAATGTAAAGATAGCCGTTTCGTTAGTTTAATAGTGAATACTCCCAAAGAAGACTGGTCAAAGCATACAACCACATGGAACGGTATCAGGGCTTCGCCTTGTGGCTGACAGGTCTAAAAACTTTACTCGAATGGCATTCCTTTTCTACCGAACTGATCTGAGCAGTATTTCGACAGATTGGGCGCTCAGATCCCTGCTACACGGTGAAGTGTTTGTGGCGTCCTGACTAATATTATAGGAGTTATGATGGTTTAAAAATATTGTTTAAATTTTCTGTACTTGGGAGATAATCTAATTAAAGAATTGTCCTTACACAATTATCTTCCAAGTACAGAAAAGGAGTCTGGGAAATGTGTCTTTGCTTCCTGTCCCCACCAGGGGAAAACCCATGGAATGTAATTAAGGAAACCCCTTGCATGGGGAATTTTATAAAAGCCAGCTGTGGCTCAATAAAAAAAAAAAACAAAAAACAAAAAACTGTTGACTCCCAAAGCTGTGTATCATCTTATTTGGGCATTTGGATGGGATTGCCGAGCTACGCCTCTCTTGGATATTATTTAAGTCTACCAGCTGAGATATTAATCTTAATACTGCTACTCCGCTACAATGTATTATCCCTGTAATGAAAAAAAATTGCAGTTTCTTTAAAACTGCAATGTTTTCAGCTGCCGGGTTAAGGGGACAGGGACACCGCACCCAAACCACTTCCATCAGATGGTCTAGGAGTGGAACGCAGGAGCCTGGAATGTGTCCCACAGACTATAACAATGTAACGAGAATATACCCCTACACGCAGGATCCAGCTAAACAGAAGCCAATACAGAGGAGAGATACGTCTACCGGACCTTAGAATGGCCGGACTCGACGTATATGAGAGGAGACAGAGCCAGGAACAAACCGAGGTCAAGGGCACAGAGAGACAGCGTAAACTAGGACAAGCCGGGGTCTGGTACACGGAAAACAGCAAGCCGGCAAACAGTACAGATAAGGATAAAGCGAAAACGAAGTCAGAATACGAAGCCAAAGTCAATACGAGAAAACACAACTGAACACCACAAGCGCTAAAGGGAACTGAAACAGAAACCACGATAGGGCAACGAGCTAAGGGAAAAAGGTAAGTTTAAATAGCTTTTAAACGAAAGTGATTGGCTCCTGTCACTTCCACACCCACAAAAGGTAATTGTATAGGGAGTGTGGTATGACAGGAGCCAATGGGAGCCTTTTGGCAATTAGGCTCCCACTGTCTCTTTAAGAGCGCGCCCGAGACTCGCGGCGCGCTCTTAGTTTCAGGCGGGACACGTGACCGCTTCACGCGGTCACTGCCCGCCTTCCATCTAAAGCAGTCAGATTAGCCGCGCGCGGCTCGTGCAGCCGCAGGACCGCGCGCGGCTTGAAGAGAGGACCGCGACCGGCCCCCGGTTAAGGTAAGTAACGCTACAAACAAGAACACAAGCTGATGGGCCACATCCCCCTCACCACATCTAACCAAGACACGAAAACATTAAGAGTCTAACCTTTTCTTCAAAGGCCAGACAGAGAACATTGCTACCAGCCCTGAGGACAGAGAAACCCCGTGGAGTCAAGTGTGTAGTTGCCCTTAATATGGCTAGGAGAGGACCGCATTTAGTGCCCACCCCACCATATGCTACCTGTCTTCTGAGAGGAAAGGGCATCTACCAATTTGTTATGGTTTGGTTGTATGGAAAATACACTTCTTTAAAATACTTGCCCATCCTAGTTTAAGCAGAGGTCAAAGCAAGTCCTGTGAGTTTTTCTAGCAATGAACTCTACCCAATTAGGAAGTAGCCAACAGCTTTCAATAAAATTCTTACATTAACACTACTTTCAGAAGAGCACTTAATGGATTATACAATGCAGTAACAGCTATAAACCAACTAAAAGAAACATAGAATGTGATGGCAGATAAGAACCATTCGGCCCATCTAGTCTGCCTAATTTTCTAAATACTTTCATTAGTCTCTGGCCTTATCTTATAGTTAGGATAGCCTTATGCCTATCCCTATAAACCCTTTTACTGAGTTAACCTCTACCACTTCAGCTGGAAGGCTATTCCATGCATCCACTACCCTCTCAGTAAAGTAATACTTCCTGATATTATTTTTAAACATTTGCCCCTCTAATTTAAGACTATGTCCTCTTGTTGTTGTAGTTTTTCCTCTTTTAAATATAGTCTCCTCTTTTACGGTTTATTCTCTATGTATTTAAAGCGGCACTGTCATGCCAAACTTACCTTTCCTCAATTTCTTCCTCTTCTCCCCCTCTCTCAGGATCTGTTATTCTTTTCTTCCTGTCTTCTTTAGTTTTCTTTAAAGTCATAAGAAAGTAGGGACTCTTTGCCTTATGGAGGTTTCCTCCACTTGACCAGCGGAGGTGCAAAGTGTGCTTCATTTCTGCTGGTCAGTGCAATTTTCCTGCAATTCTTACCTTTCCCCCGTGTTCCCGCGATGCTTCCTGTCATTTTACACGAAACTGCCGAATTGCATTTTAACTCAATGGAGAACAGTATGTTCGTTTGTTTTAGAGCTCAATTCGGCACTTTGTTCGTATCGGAATTTCATTCGAATGAATTAAACTCCGACCCTATTCATTGCCGCGGCTGCATCTTGCAGCCGCTTAGTAGATAACTCCCTAATTCCCATGGTATTAGGGAGCTGTCTTCCAAAAGATTACTTAGTATTAGTAAATTATGCCCCTACTCACTATACCACGAGTAGGGGCATGTCTAGTAAACAGTGAGCAGCCAGTAGCTGCTCACAAAAAAAAATAAAAAAATAAATAAAACCAACACCCACACACACCACCAAAAAAAACCCCCAAAAGCAAACCTATTGGCCCCCACCCCTGAGCGGTGGGTGGAGGCAATAATGGACAATCAGGGGGAGGGGGCGGGGTAGATGTAGTGGAGTCGTGAGAAAAAAAAAAAAAAAAAAAAATAAAGGATTCGGCCATGACAGTGCCGCTTTAAATGTTTCTATTATATCCCCCAAGGACAGCACAACACTGAGGTCTTAAACAAATTGCAAATTGTAGGAATACCACTAGATTTCATCCTTTGCATAAAAACTGGTCGGACACATGTTCCCTGACATTAATTGAAAAGGAAAAGAAGCCTGCACATGCAAGTCCAAACTCACCTTCAAAAGCAGAAACAAAGTTATCAGGCATGTTGAAGCACAAAGAAAGCTTCCATTTATTCATATTTCCAATAGCAAGCGATAACTCTCTGAGTTTTGGTAATCGAAACAAAATATATTGTAAAGCCCTTTCAGGTACAATGCCTTCTTTTGAATGGAGTGACAAGGAATACAAGTTTTGCAGTAAAACAATGCTGGTTAGTGGAAGAACACTTGAAAAAGTCACTCTGCATAATGACAAATGTGTAAGCTGTTGGAAAAAAACAATTTCTGTAAATAGATCATGGTCTGTCACATTGGAGCAGTCAGACAACTGTAACTGCTTGAGATTTAAAAGTGGTTGCAGTCCTTGCAGGATCTCCCCCTTCAAACAGGAGTCCATTCGAACATTGGTAATATCTGGGAGTGAACAGGCCATCTTTTTAAATTGTTTTAGTGTCACCTTGCTCACTTCAACTGAACAGATCTTACGGTTCTGAAGAGTGTCCCAGAATCTTGCATTATAAATTCCTATACTTTTGAAAACTATTATACTGTTTTTCCATAAAGATGGATGGTCCACCAGCGTCCGCAAGTAAGTACATGTTGCACGCACATTTGCCTTTTCAGTTGGAGATAGGAATGTAAAGATGTGTAGAAGGACTTCTTGTGGCAACTGGAGCCACTGTATTGGTGGCATTTTCATAAGATATTCCAAATTTATTTCATGTCAAATCTACAAATAAAAATAATTAACATTAATGAAATATCTATATTTCACAATTCTCTACTTGTAGCACTTGAAGTTTTAAACAAAGTACTCATCTCAATTCACTCTTTCGCTCGTGTGCTGGCATATTGCAGATCACTAAGATTTGTTAGTCCTTTATAAGTGCTAGAGTATAAATGTACATACATAGTGTTCCTGCTTTCTCACATTTACTTTATATAAAATGAAAACACAAACAAACCACACATCTCTTTTATATATAGTGTCATAGTTGCAACCCCCACTGTTGGATAGATGGGAGGGTGCTCTCTCTTATTGCTTTGTGCTCCAGCACCAGACAATTAAATATTAGCTTGTTTGAGCTTACAGTCTAGAAGGGATTTATTAAGAGGAATAAGTTGGAGATATTGACAGAAAAGACAGCCTTTCCTAGTTAAGCTTGGAAGAGTGGTGTGTGGAAACACAAACTATTTATAGAAGGATGAGGAAGAGACTACAATGAGAAAAGAAAGTCACCCAAGATGACAAAGAGATTATTTCCAGTGACTTCTTAAAAAAAAGACTAGGAGGCAGGTTTAATAGGATCGGGCTGTCCCAGCACCGGTGCTCGCTCTGACAGGCTGTCAGAGCGAGCACATGTGCTCAGTATACTCACCTTCCGCCTCCCTGCACTTCCGGGTTCTGTGTGAAGTGCAGGGAGACGGATCAGTGCTGCTGATCTTCTCCCTGTGTAAAGAAAAAAAAAAAAAAAAAAAAAAAAAAAAGTTAAATCCCACCCCCACCCTTTCCCCTGCTTTAATAAAAATTAACCCCTTCCCTGCCAATTGATCACGCTCTACAGTGATCAATTGGCAAGGTATGCATTTGATATTTTTTAAAAAATTTTTAAAACCCTCATGGGTTACATTTATTTTATTAATTTAAATATTTTAAATTATATATTTAGCTAGCTGGGAGGGGTGGAAGTTAGTGGAGAATTTGGTGTTAGGCTAATTAGGGGTAAACTTTAAAAAAAAGTTTTAAAAAAAAAAACCTTTACCCAGTTTAAATTAAAATTAACCCCTTTACTGCCAGTTGATCACAGTGCCTACAGTGATCAAAATACAGATCACAGTATTATACTGTAATTTAATTTCTTTTAACCTGAGGATTAACTTTTATTTATTTTTTTAACCCTCAGGGGTTCAATTTATTCAATTAAAAAAAAAAAATTATATATATATATATATTTTGCTAGCTGAGTGGGTAAGGTGGGGAATTTACGGTTAGTGCTGCTTACTGCTAGTTAGGGGTTAACACTAAAAAAAAAAAAAAATAAATAAATAAATAAAAGTTTAGAAGTGTAAAAAAAAAAAAGTTAAAGGACCACTCTAGGCACCCAGACCACTTCAGCTTAATGAAGTGGTCTGGATGCCAGGTCCAGCTAGGGTTAACCCATTTATTTTTTTTATAAACCTAGCAGTTTCAGAGAAACTGCTATGTTTATAAATGGGTTAATCCAGCCTCTAATGGCTGTCTCATTGACAGCCTCTAGAGGCGTTTGCGTGCTTCTCACTGTGAAAATCACAGTGAGAAGACGCAAGCGTCTATAGGAAAGCATTATAAATGCTTTCCTATGAGACTGGCTGAATGCGCACGCAGCAACCTGCCACGCATGCGCATTCAGCCGAAGAGGATGCAGACAGGATGAGGAGAGCTCCCCGCCCGGCGCTGGAGAAAGGTGAGTGTTTAACCCCTTCCTCTCCCCAGAGCCCGGCGGGAGGGTGTCCCTGATGGTGGGGGCACCCTCAGGGAACTAACGAGTATGTTTTCCTGGCACTATAGTGGTCCTTTAAGAAAGTGTAAAACATTTAATAAGTTAAAAAAAAAAATTTAAAAAAACAGGTTTTAAAAAGTCAAAAATACATTTAAAAAAAAAAAATGCTTATTACCACTACACTTGATACAAGCTAGCGGAAAAACGATCCCACGCTAAGGTTCAAAATATGCCTTTTGAATTACCCTGGGATGTCTTCTTTAAGAAATGGTATGCCTTTATGGTGTAATTGGATTATATAGCCTTGTAAAATACTCTAAAATGGGACATGGACACAGCGTAAAAATTTTAAGTTTGAGAAAAACTGGAATGGCTGTGTCTCAAATGTGCCCCTTCAATGTCCACATATACCTGGCAAAGGTACATACGGGGGGTATTGCTGTACTCAGCCGACATAGCTGAGCAACATATGAAGTATTATACAGTCATAGCACACATAAGGTTTGCAAAATATACTGCGCAAACTCGCTTTGTGTGTCAAAAAAAGGCAGAAAAAATTGCTTATTACCACTACACTTGGTACAAGCTAGCGGAAAAATGATCCCACACTAAGGTTCAAATAGGCCTTTTGAAATACCCTGGGATGTGTTCTTTAAGAAATGGTATGCCTTTATGGTGTAGTTGTAATATGTAGCCTGCTCAAGTACTCCAAAGTGGGACACTTGGACTTGTCACCAGTGGGGTACCTCAGGGATCTGTACTTAGACCCATTCTCTTTAATATTTTTATTAGTGATATTGCAGAAGGTCTTGATGGTAAGGTAGGTCTTTTTGCTGATGATACTAAGATATGTAACAGGGTTGATGTTCCAGGAGGGATAAGCCAAATGACAAATGATTTAGTTAAACTAGAAAAATGGTCAGAATTGTGGCAACTGACATTTAATGTCGATAAGTGCAAGATAATGCATTTTGGACGTAAAAACCCAAGGGCAAAGTACAAAATATTTGATAGAGTCCTAACCTCAACATATGAGGAAAGGGTTTTAGGGGTAATTATTTCTGATTACTTAAAGGTAGGCAGACAATGTAATAGAGCAGCAGGAAATGCTAGCAGAATGCTTGGTTGCATAGGGAGAGGTATTAGCAGTAGAAAGAGGGAAGTGCTCATGCCATTGTACAGAACACTGGTGAGACCTCACTTGGAGTATTGTACACAGTACTGGAGACCGTATCTTCAGAAGGATATTGATACCTTAGAGAGGTTCAGAGAAGGGCTACTAAACTGGTTCATGGATTGCGGGATAAAACTTACCAGGAAAGGTTAAAGGATCTTAACATGTATAGCTTGGAGGAAAGACGAGACAGGGGGGATATGATAGAAACATTAAAATACATAAAAGGGAATCAACACAGTAGGAGGAGACCATATTTAAAAGAAGAAAAACTACAACAACAAGAAGACATAGTCTTAAATTAGAGGGACAAAAGGTTTAAAAATAATATCAGGAAGGAATACTTTACTGAGAGGGTAGTGGACGAATGGAATAGCCTTCCAGCTGAAGTGGTAGGGGTTGACACAGTAAAGGAGTTTAAGCATGCGTGGAATATGCATAAGGCTATCCTAACTATAAGATAAGGCCAGGGACTAATGAAAGTATTTAGAAAATTGGGCAGACTAGATGGGCCGAATGGCTATCTGCCGTCACATTCTATGTTTCTAGGACACGGACGCATCAAAACCCTCCATGAAAATTCACACTTAAAAACCTGAACTTGTCACGTCTCTTTTACAGCACTGTAACTCCACATATGTGCCACTAAGTTCAAATCCCCCAAATTATGCTCAGCTAAGTCTTCTGAGTAAAAAGACACCCCCCAATGAATGTCTTTGGCACTATTTCGTGAAGTTACAGTGCCATATAGAAGACCAAACCATATCAGTTTTTACATAATTTTGAATTTTGACGCTGGGCCTATGTGCAATTTCCAAGCATTTTCGCAAGTTTTAAATTCAAACTACCCCACAAAGGCCTAACATTTCTTAAATTAGACACCCCAGGGTATTTCAAAAGGTACATTTTGAACCTTAGCGTGGGATCATTTTTCCGCTAGCTTGTACCAGGTGTAGTGGTAATAAGCATTTTTCTGCCTTTTTGACACACAAAGTGAGTTTGAACAGTATATTTTGCAAATCTTATGTGTGCTACGACTGTATAATACTTAATATGTTGCTCAGCTATGTGCTCTGAGTACAGCAATACCCCCGTATGTACCTTTGCCAGGTATATGTGGACGTTGAAATGGCACATTTGAGACACAGCCATTGAGTTTTTTCTAACTTTGAAGTTTTACGCTGTGTCCATGTTCCAATTTGGAGTAGTTTAGATGGTTGGTTATTGAAACTTCCCCACAAAACACATACTATTTATTAAAGAATACACCCTGGGGTAATTCAAAAAGTATATTTTGAACTTTGGCGTGGGATCATTTTTTCTCTAGTTTATTCCAGGTGTATTGGTAATGAGCGTTTTTTTGTTTTTTTTTAATTCTTTATTTTTGTGGATAAAGCATGTTGTTTACAATATTACATGTTTGGCAATATAATGAACAAATCACACAGTAATGTCAACATGTTGCGGGAAATATCCATTTTTAAGTTTCGAATAGCTTTTACAGCCCTCTCTCGCCTGTACTCTCGCGGGGAAGTGGTGATGTGTTGGGGGGGCTCCTTTCCTATGGCGGTGAGTGCCCTGAAGCTCGTTTGTGTGGATTTACGTGTGGCATTAACGAATGGCACATCAGGGAGGGTGACCTGCTTAGTGGGGCTCGGTCAGAGCTGTGGGTGCCCATAGGCTTAGTAGTGGCATGGTATATGTGGCGTGGACTTAAGGCACGTCTAAATGTGTGGGTATATGGCATGGGTCCTGCCGGACCTGTGAATAGGGCTTAATGCTATGATTTTGTAAAAAGGCTGTATTCGCTTATCGAGTGTGAGGGATACAGGCAATATTAATTCTGCTTTGTGCACTCAAAATACAATAAAAAGGGGGAGGGAGATTAACTTGGTCATAGAACCTGAGCCGTAGCTTACGGAGCCAGTGGGAGGAAGTTATCTAAGGAGGGGGATTAACAGTCCCGGGTCTAGTTGGTGCTCCTGTTGTCTACAACAGGTAAAAATATGTGGAACTTGCATGGCTGCAGCTGTATCAAGTAGGCAGGGTAGCAGCTTGTAGGCCTTCTCCTCTGGGCACGAAGGGGGTGATATCTGCCACAGTCCAAGGTGGTCGAGCTGTTTCTTGTGCTTCCTGCGCCGGTATGCCCAATGCTCTGAGGAATGCTGGTATTTCAGCAGTGTGTGATAGCTTGTGTGTCACGCCTGCCTTGTCCGCCTGTAGTCTGCGTGGGCCCCACTTGTAGGGGATGGCTTGATCCCGTAGTAGTTGTGTAACCTGACGGAAAGATTTCCTCCATTGTATAGTGTGTCTTGAATAGTCTCTGTAAAAAGCTAGTTGTGCCCCCTCAAATGGCACTGTGGGAGTGTCTCTTGTGGCCCCCATAAGTATTCCCCTGTCAGAGTCTCTCACAAATTTTATCAGGACGTCGCTAGCTCCTTCTCGTGGCGTAGAGGTCGCCCTGGAGAGCCTGAAGCAGGAATCGATCATTACCTGTTTCGCTTGCCGTGGTGTCAGCAGTGTGGCTATAAGCCGTCGGCAGAAATGTGGCAGTTCAGTGCCAGAGATTGTCTCCGGTACTCCCCGGACCCTCAGGTTCCGCGTCTTGTGCCTATCTTCCATGTCCGCCAGTTGTGCTTGCTGGTCGGCACACTGCTTGCGCAAGGCGTTCAGTGCAGCATCTGTGGCATTTTGCGCCAGCGTTGTACCTTTTGTGCCCTCTTCCACTGCTGTCACCCTGTTTGTTAGCACAGCAATATCCTCCCTCACCAGTGCCATATCTGCCTGAAACATGGTCTTGATTTCTTTAACCAGGGCTTTGATATCCGCTTTGGTAGCGGGTGCTGAGTCTCCCTGATCCTGGGGTCTCTGAGGTGCCTGGCGCCCTTGGCTCAGTATGGAGTGTTCAGTGTAGTGGCTATCCTCGTCCGAGGATTGGGAGGTGTAGGCCTCCGGCGCCATCTTGGGATTTGCCGGCCGCGTGGCTGCGCGGAGAAAAGCTCCGATATCTCCAGATCCTGTGCTCGGATCTGCCCTCTGTTTTTTGGATTTCTTCCCCATGACACAGGGAGTCCGTGCTCTGTCTTTATTGCGCCGGTGAGTCGGTGTTTATTGTCTCTGGGCAACGTTTTTTCGGCTCGGTGCCCGGAGCAGTAGTGCTGAGCGTCTATCCTGCTCGGAAGCTGGCTCCGCCCCCAGCGGTAATGAGCGTTTTTAAAATGTATTTTTTTTTTTTTTACTTTTTAAAAACTAGTTTTTAAACTTGTTTTGCTTATTAATTTTTTTAAACTTTCCTAAATATTATTTTTTTTTCAGATTTAACATTTTTCTAAGTTTTTTTTTTTTTTACCGTTAACCACTAACTAGCAGTAAGCAGCACTAACCGTAAATTCCCCATTTTCCCATAACTCCCACCCACCCCAGCTAGCAAAATATATAATTATAAAATATTTAAATTAGTTAAATAAATTGAACCCCTGAGGGTTAAAAATTAAAAGTTAAAAAAAAAAAAAGTTAGATCACAGTATAATACTGTAATCTGTATTTTGATCACTGTAGGCAGTGATCGACTGGCAGGGAAGGGGTTAATTTTTATTTGGACTGGCTAAACGGGGTTTTTTTTATTTTTTGCTTAAACGTTATTAAAAAAACTTTTTAACTTAATTTTGAACTTTTTAAAGCTTATTTTAAAACTTTTAACGTTAACCCCTAGTTAGCCTAACACCAAATCTCCCAATTCCCCACTAACTTCCACCCACCCCAGCTAGCTAAATTTATAATTTTAAAATATTTAAATAAAATAAATTTAACCCCTGAAGAAAAAAAATAAAAAGAAAAAAGGTAGTAAAATACAATCCCTGCCAATTGATCACTGTAGTCAGTGATCAATTGGCAGGGAAGGGGTTAATTTTTTATTAAAATGGGTAAAGAGGGGTGGGATTTTAAATTAACTTTATTTTTTCTAACAGGGACAAGATCAGTGATGATCTGTCTCCCTGCACTTCACACAGAACCAGGAAGTGCAGGGAGGAGGATGGTGAGTATACTGAGCACATGTGCTCGCTCTGACAGGCACCAGTGCTGGGGCAGCGAGATCGGGTGCTCCCGGTCTGCCTCTAATACAGAGGCAGACTGGAGAACTGTTAACCCCGCGATCACGGTCAGTCACTCGTCCTTAAGGGTTTCCCCATCATTAAGGGGATAAGGAGTGCTTTGAGTAAATAGTTTTGGTTATGATGCTTTGTGGGGTTTTTTTTTATTTATTTTTTTTTAAAAACCTACATGGAGTTTGGTACAAGTGGAATATCTGCATTGTGTAAAAGGAGAAGTTAGGATATAGAAAAAAAAAAATTAATAAATTGTAAGACATCTAATTACAGACAAAATAAAGGCAATTACAAAGGAGGGAGAGATCAGTTGTGAAGAGATAAATCTAAGTGTTTATGGATTGCTTTTTAAATCTAAGAAAATAACCAGGTCACTAAGAGATGTAGTGTAAAAATTAATTAAGACCATCAAAAGTATTGGGAGAATCTTGCAGAGAAGAAGAAGAAGAGAAAAAAAAAAGTGTGTGTGTCTCTGTGCTTCACATAAGATATTTATGACCCTCTGCAAGAATGGTGTCTATGTTCCATTAAATCGGTCTGATCTTAAATTCTACGTGTCGTCTTGGTCAGAAATGCTTCAGACTTGAGAAAGGGAGGTTCTCACGAACGTTTGTCATTAAAAACCCAATCTGTTAGTCCATTAAAAAAAAAAAGTATTACAAGATACAAATTTTTTAAACCACACACATTAAATAGTTAATACATTACTAAACACAAATACACACCAGTCAAGCCATAAGACTTGCTTTTCCCACAGAAATCTCACTTTAACAGTGTTCTCACTACTGCAAGGGATTCTGGGTAGGCGTATGCAACTAAGCTCAACAAAGAACCTCATACAGGAATTGTTCACTGGCTTTGCTCCTCTTCCCTAATTGTGCTTAAAGCTGTTGAATAGAGCAGATATCTACTCCAAGTAATCCATGTATAAAGTGGAATTATGAGACAAAAAAGTGGTTCTTTGTTGAGCTCATTTGCATATACCTACCCAGAATCCCCTACAGTAATGAGAGCACTGTTAAAGTGAGATTTCTGTCGGGGAAAAAAATCTTATGGCTCGACTGGTGTGTGTATTTGTGTTTAGCAATGCATTAACTATCATGTTTTTTAGGTGAAAAATGGTTATATTCAAATCGTTATTGGCTAAAGTATGTACTGTCAAGAAATCAAGGAGAATTTCAATTTGTAGGCCAAGGTAACAAAAGTGAAAACGTTGTGAGCCTACAGTTTTTCCCCAATCTGACTTTTGTAAATGTTAAGAAACTGAACGCTTTGCTATGACAATTGCTTCTCAAAACGTCTTCCCACAAATACACCGGGTTTTAACACGAAAACAAAATCTTCCTTTATGCACCCCCAAGCTGATGTTTTACTGCTGCTGCTGTGCCATAAAACTGTTTAAGAAACAAATGGTCGGATTGATTTAAAACCTAGAAAAACATGAGTTGAAGGACTAACTCACTGCACACCGCCGAGGAGCTAGTTGGCAATCGACAAACAATCACTCTGGATGCTAAAAAGAAGAGTGTATAGAAGAATGTAAGTTCTACACCCAACTGACATCATATTACAGCATTAAATTACGCCAGATAAACTATACTACCGTGTTTAAGTGTTGTCAGAGAACTGAAAGCCATATCCTTCCGGAACCTAGGTTCCCTCCAACGAAGTTCTTCCCTTCCTTTAAAGAGAGAGGGGGGGGCTTTCCTGCAGACGATTCTGGATCTGTACAGTTGGTGAAAACGCCGCCATCTTTACTCAGGGCGGACATCTTGCCACAACACCAATAAAACACGGCTACAAACTCAGTATACAAAAGGAGAGCGTCTGTGTCAGATGGGCTTTCTGGTCTTCCAAAAAAAAAATAATAATAATCTGCCGTTGTTGCTGCAATTTGCCAATCACAGGGCCGGCTGTGCCAATATCAAAGATGGCGTTGTGAAGCACCGAAAAGCAAGGTACGTCATTGGACTGACATTACTTTTTCTTTTCTAGACGCGCTCAAAAATGACGTCGAACGGATGTGGCGTGATTATAGGGATATGACGTGCGTGGGGGGGTGGGGAACGCGCCAATGTATGAATTTGTTTCTAGGATTTTGAAGTAGAGTTGTAACGGCTATGTCTGATACTAGATATTGGGTGAGTGGGACTTTGGGTCCCACGGTACGCACGTCTGGATCTACATAAGTAGCCCTCGATACACGCTTATAAGGTATTTAACTCTCGTTTTAATTGGACATTTATTTTAATAGTAAAACAGCAGGTCAAAGAGTGTATTTTCATCTGCTATAGTAGGGAAAGGCAACCTGCGGCAATCCAGATGTGGACATCACTCTTGATGCTTTGCGAACATGATGGCTCCTCTAAGAGCATTAAAGAGAAATATGGTCCCCAACATCTGGAGTGCCGAAGGTTGTCTACCCCAATGATATAATTTGAGGTTCGCAAGTATATCTATTTAGTATATTGGGGCTTATGCCCTAATCTGGTGAATTGTGTTGAAAGCTAAAGTAGACAAAAGATGTATTTTATTAATTGACTCAAATAAAAAGGGAAAAAAAATATTTTGTCTTTAAAGCAAATGTGTTTTTTTTTTTTTTTCTTTTTAAATTGCCATTTGTAAACATTTGTATGTTGCCCAGTTACCACCAATGTACTTCAGACATCCTAGCTTGCAAAAATGCATTTCAGGGAGGTGGCTTCACCAGCTACGGTGCAACACACACAGCCCGCAGATCTGTATGAACACCTTGACACACAGATACACGCACTGCAACATGCCCTCAGATACACTCCTGCTAGCTTACCTTTTTATCCTGGAGGATGGCTTGTTTCCTGTTCTGGTTCTGGCTGAGGCTTATAGGAGCGAGCATACAGTAGAAGCTCACTCCAGCCTCTCTTCTGCCTCTGTTGTTGTGTGCTGCTCCTGACTCCATGGTGCCTCCTCCCTCCAGTCCTCCTGTGCGGGTCTCTGTGAAGCAGGGACATCACAGCTCACTAACCGCATGGCAACAATAAGCACAGCCAGCCGCCTGCCTCCACGATTCCCCAGCTTGCCGCCGCCTGCACAATCCCCTAGCCTGTCGCCCACAGGTATTAAAGGGACACTATAGTTACCAGAACAACTACATCTTAATTTAGTTGTTCTGGGGAGTATAAATCATTGCCTTCAGGCATTTTTATACAAACTGTCTTTTCAGATTAAAGACAGTATTTACATTTCCCCTAGGTACACCTCTAAGTGGCCACTTATCAGATGGCCACTGGAGGTGCTTCCTGGCTCAGAGCTGCACAGTAGGCAGCACTGCTGTTAAGCATCTCCACGCTCTGTATGGTGACGCTGAATTTTCTTCATGGAGTTACATTGATTCAATGCATCTCTCTGAGGAGGTGCTAATTGGCCAAATCAGCGTTTGCCCCCCTTACCGATTTTTATTAAATGCTTTCCATATGAGAAAGCATTAGATTGGCTAAAAATGGTCGATTCTGGTGTCACCAAGGGGGTGGAGCCAGCAGCGGTGGACTCGCGTGGCGCTGGAAATAGGTGGGCAGGCCACCTAAAGTGTGGGTTTTGTACTAAAGGGTCAGGAATACATGGTTGTGTTCCTGACCCTATAGTGTTCCTTTAAAACAAACTAACGTTTCTGTGAGTCTCTGTCATAGTGTGTGTGTGTGTGTGTGTATAGGTAACCGTACCCCTTCTGTTCGAAAGGGAATGGGGTTTTTACTGATGTTTTTTTTTTTCCCCTACGCGGGGCTGGTCTTTCCACGACTGGCCCTGCCTCTATGGCTGAGATTATCAAACTTGATGATCTCAGCCAATCAAATATTTTCATATAGGATTGGCAGCAAAACGCTGTACCAATTAGCATCTCTTCAGAGATGCATTGAGTCAATGCATCTCTATGAGGAACGTTCGGCGCCTCCATGCAGAGCGTGGAGATGCTGAATGTAGGTGCTGCACACTACAGCACTGATACAGGAAGCAGCTTTTGTGACTGTCATTAGAGAGCAATGTAAACACTGCCTTTTCATAGACAAGGCAGTGTTTACATTGAAAAGCCTGCAGCGTCAGGCTATAGACACCAGAACCACTAAAATAAGCTGTAGTGGTCCTGGTGGCTATAGTTTCTCTTTAAGAATTGTATTTTTGTTGTTGAATATAAAGCTTTGTAAGTGTAAAAAAACTGGCTCCTAACTTTTTTAGCTCTCCCCTAGATTTATAGCAAATTTATCAAGGCCTGCTCTAGTGGCACTGTAGTGCACCTTTAAGCTTTGCCCCTTCTCAAGTTTTGTTAAACTGACTACATGAGAAAAAGTAGTCCTTGTTTAATGAATGTTAAAGCACTTGGGAAATAGATTTAGACACAGGTAGCTATTTAGAAACAGATTAGATAGTTTTTGTGGCGACAAAGCCAATTAAAAGGAACATTACAGGTACAATATCATTTTAGTTTGGAAAGCTGTAGCTATACATAATTTTTCCCCCTTGCTCTGTTTATTTTTATTTTTTCCTGGCTTTCTATGCGGTCGAAAGTCAGCAATATAGTGTTATTTGTTTTGTTTTTCTCCCCATAGGCAAATGAATAGGTCCTGTTAGCTGTACAGCTGATATCTCTGAAACGGAACAAAAGTCTTCACCCTTCTGGATTGCAGCAACACGTGATATATGTTTATAATGGCAAACTGCATTTCATGTGAAAGCTCTTTTACCTCAGTTCCTCTAGCTGTAATACCACCTAATTCAATGATTTCACTAAAAGCCTTAAAGAAATTATGGAACAAAGGGTCACTTCAACCAGATTCCCTTGCTTCTCCTAAACCTCAAGTAGTACAGTCCACCTTAAAGTATGGTTGGACAGGTGCCCCTGACTGTCCTAATCTCAAGGTAATCAAACCAAGAGCTTGTCACAGAAAGTATATGTCAGTCATTACTAATCAAAAATCACGTGAAATAGACAGTATTTTCTCTCCAGAAAAATCAAATGTCTCTGAATCACCAGCCAAAGCATTTCAAAAGATGAAGGAATTGATTACCCAAGACAAGATGCAGAAGACTAAAACAAATATTTCCAATGTTGCGAACAACAAATTGGATATGTTGTTAACTCCAGTTTCAAAGAACTGTGATTATAATGCAAACAAAGGAGTCAAATGTTACAATAAAAATTACGCCCAGGAACTTACAGTGTGTGATGGCTTTTGTGTCCGTGAAAACCCTTCTCTAGGTAAGCTGGTTACTTTTTTTTCTGATTGTTTTGCTGTAGCTTCAGTTGAGTTGTACAATTAGATCAATAAGAGAGATAATGTTGGTTATATAAAGATGTGTTCCTTTTAAAAGACTAACATATTCCTCCTCAGAATGCAAAGGGTTAAATAACTTTATTCACTTTTACCTGACCTCAGCAGCGAGGTCCATTGGCCCTGGGTCACAGTCCTCCTCCCCTGTCATCCAATGGGAGACCTACTGCACATGCAGGGCACACCTTAATGCTTTCCTGTGGGGTTTTCTCTAAAGCTGGACATCCTCATCCAGAGTGTAAGAATGTCCAGCATTGTTTTCCAGAGTTAAACTCTGTAAAACTCCAAGAATTGCTTCTAGTGGCTGTCTGGTAGATAGCCTCTACTAGCAGTCTTAGTACTTCAATGTAAACATTGATGTTTCTTTAAGATCATTGCTGTTTTTTCAGGGACAGTGCCTATAGTGATCATCAGTGAGATTAAGTGATCTGGGTACTTATAGCAAGGCTCGACAAATCCCAGGCAATTTTGCCTTGGCGCCTAGGATATGCGACCCCCTTAACTCCAAGAGGGCATTATGGAGCAAGGCGGCATGCTGGGGGGGTGGAGGCGGGCGGCTGGCTGGCTGAGCGAATAGTAGGCGAGCGGCGAGAGAGCTCTGATGTCCCTGCTCTGCTCCCCGCACGCCGCTTAATGGGGCCTTGATAAGACCTCATATTCCAGCCCCAGCCTCACTAAGCAGCACGCAAGGGAGCAGAGCAGGGACGGCACAGCTCCCTTGCTGCCGGCAACAATATGCGCAGCCAGCCGCATGCCTGCACGCTAAAAAATTTGTTTTTTGTAGTGCATAGTTTAACAGACATGCTTGCATTGACAATGCAGATGATTATATATCACAATCAAAGATAGTAATAACATGAAAAGTCAAGAATACTGCACTTGGGAGGGGGGGAGAACACTATGGGACTGAGGGGGGAAAGAACACTAAAAAAAGAGGGAAGGGAGAAGAAAATTAAGCGCGGGGAACTGCTAAAAGAGAAGGGAGTAGGGAAGTTTTTCATATTAGATTAATTAAATTCATTAAAGGGACACTATAGTCACCTGAACAACTTTAGCTTAATTAAGCAGTTTTGGTGTATAGAACATGCCCCTGCAGCCTCACTGCTCAATCCTCTGCCATTTATGAGTTAAATCCCTTTGTTTATGAACCCTAGTCACACCTCCCTGCATGTGACTTGCGCAGCCTTCCATAAACACTTCCTGTAAAGAGAGCCTTGTTTAGGCTTTCTTTATTGCAACTTCTGTTTAATTAAGATTTTCTTATCCCCTGCTTTGTTAATAGCTTGTTAGACTCTACAAGAGCCTCCTGTATGTGATTAAAGTTCAATTTAGAGATTGAGATACAATTATTTAACGTAAATTACATCTGTTTGAAAGTGAAACCAGTTTTTTTTTTTTTCATGCAGGCTCTGTCAATCATAGCCAGGCGAGGTGTGGTTTGAGCTGCATAAACAGAAACAAAGTTATTTAACTCCTAAATGACAGTGAATTGAGCAGTGAAATTGC